CTTTCCAATACTGCTATACTGAAAAAGTTTCTTTCTCAGCTTTTAAATATTACTTGCTCTTTTCAAAAAAAAAAAAAACTTGTTAAGGCCTATTTATTTATTTAGAGACAGGGTTTATCTGTGTGGTTTTAGTTGTCCTAGAACTTACTCTGTAGATCAGACTAGCCTCGAACTCATAGAGATGCACCTGCCTCTGCTTCCTGAGGGCTGGGATTAATTGTGCTAGGTTTATTCATTTTCTTGGGTGAGAAAATGCTGCCTACATATATGTATATACACATGGTACCCATGGAGGTCAGAAGAGGGCACTGGATTCCCTAGAACTGGAGTTATGGATGGCTGTGAGCCACCACGAGGGTACTGGGGACCAAACCTGAATCCTCTGAAAGAGGGGCAAGTGCTCTAAACCACTGAGTCATTCCTCAGGCCCATTTACTTGTCTCTTTAACTGGCATTTGAGATGAGCAGCCAGTGCCCGGGCTTTCAGACTACACACTCTAGTACAGTAGTAGTCATGAGTACTCCATCCTAGATTTCTTTTCCTCGCTAGTAAAATTACCAGGCTAAGGGCAGCACAGTTGCTGGAAATAATATACTTGTAACTACTATTTATGTTTAAAAAAATAATGGTCAGAAACACAAAGGTAATTCAAGCCCCTGACACTGGCCAGCAGAATGGGAGAGAATGAGCGAACAGCCTGGCAACAGTGCCCGTGACAGGGTAGGCTAGCAACGCTTTTCGGTGATACTCCTCAGCTACTGTAACTGAGGGGGCAGACTGACGCCTATTACCTGGGTCTAACATCTTAGCAGCCCAGCTTCTTACTGTGCAGCCTGCAGACAAGACACTCAACATCTGGGGCTGCCCTGAGGGCAGCGAGTCAACAAAGCGGTCAGATCTGGAACACAGTGGCACCACTGAAGTTGCTGGCTGTGATTACCATTACTTCTGATTTGGTCCAGGAACTAGAACAGCTGCTCCTGGGTGAGTAAGCGAAGCCCCTCCGGCAGGAGCGCTAAGCTTTTCGCCTTAAATATACTTCATGGGCCGGCTATGTAGTTACCAGGCTAGTTTAGAACTGTCCATGCAGAACACAAAATGACAGTGCGTGCACTTGATCCTCTCTCCCTGTGCTCACCCTCAGGCTGGAAGGGTCTCCTCAAAGTCCCTCTTTTATCACACCGATCCATTATTACAGACCCTGGGGGTCCATAAATGACACTCCGCAGTCCCTATTTCCTAGCTTGCTCTCACATTTCACGCACTTTGGGCACTCTCCCACTCTATCTCATGATAGGTAGCCAGGAAAGTTGAAAACTGGTGCTTGTGTCCAGGCTTCAGTGGCCAGCTCTACCTGCTTCTTCAAAGTTGGGTCACATGATCTCATGGGATCAAAGGAAAGGGTACTTACAGTCCTTTTGTGCGGTTTTTTTCTTCCTGCCCCCTGACAAGAGGTTCCCAGACTTCAAATGTCAATAGAACAAACCCTTCAGTTCCCACTGCAAATATTGCATAAGTAGTTCACTAGCTTCCACGTTTCCCGTGAGGAAATTCTACCCCAGGAGAAGGCGAGCACAGAATGGAAAACAAAAACTTCTCATCTGGGGGCTGGAGAGATAGCTCAGTGGTTAAGAGCACTGGCTGCTCTTCCAGATCCTGAGTTCAATCCCCAGCAACCACATGGTAGCTCACAACCATCTGTAATGAGATAAGGCGCCCTCCTCTGGCATGTGGGCATACATGGAGGCAGAAATTGTATACATAATAAATAAATAAATCTTAAAAAAAAAAACAAAACTTCTCATCTGGGCCCTGAAATTTTCATTTTGTATTTCCTAATTCAAAATCTGTCAGTTTCTTTTAAGTTCTCTAGGGCCGAGAGACGACTCCAACTCAGAAGGTAAAAGTATTGCTACCAAGGCTGACGACCTGAGTTTCAATTCCTGAAGTCACACAGAGGAAGGGGGAGATCCCTGCAAGTTGTCCTCTGGCCTTTACATATATGCTGTGCAATTGTGGGTCCTCCTACATACATACACACAAATCAACAAATAAATAAAACAGGAAAGACAAGTTCTTCCCAGAGGTATATACCTGCTTTAAAAAAAAAAATGTAGGCATGATGGCACACGACTTTGATCCCAGCACTTCTTAATGTAGAGGCAGGTAGATCTTTGTGAGTTCAGGCTGGTCCACAAAGCTGTCTCAAACAAGCAAAACTAACAACACAACACTAACAACAACAACAACAAAAGTACTGGAGTCCAAAGTGGTTCGCAGAGACTTAGGAACCTCCTGCTACCCAGCTGCAGGATTTAGACAAGTTAGTTCACGTGCTTGGATTGCCTTCCTGTGAAACAGACAGTGAAGAATGAGTTAGTAAAATGAATTCGGTGCCTTCATCCAAGTGCTGGTCCTAAGCTCACAAAGGAGGGGAGGGAGGGAATATCTCTGTGGAAAGGGTGCTTTTCTTGCAAGCACAAGACCAGAGTTCAATTCCCAGAACCCACATAAAAATGCCAGGTAATAGTGGCACATGCCTTTAATCCCAGCACTCAGGGAGGTAGAGTAAGTCTGGTGTACAGAGCGAGCCCCAGGACAGCCGGAGCTACACAGAGAAACCTTCTCGCAAACAAACAACAAAAACACTCATGGTGGCACACACATGTAATCCTGACCCTGGGACAGGTGGACAGGAGGACCACAAGGATCCCTGGTTAGCCAGTCTAGACTAACAGTGAGCCCCGTGCCAATGAGAGACCATGTTTCAAAAGAAGTGGATGACCACGTCTCAAAAGGAGTGGATGGTGTTCTTGAGGATGACACCTGAGGGACTGTACTCTGGCTGCCACATGCTTGGGTACACATGAGCACACACACATTAAAAATAGAACAAAAATTTAAGCAGCTTTTTTTTGTTTTTTTGTTTTTTTTTTTTTTTGGTTTGTTTTTTGAGACAGGGTTTCTCTGTATGGTTTTGGAGCCTGTCTTGGAACTAGCGCTGTAGACTAGGCTGGCCTCGAACTCACAGAGATCCTGCCTGCCTCTGCCTCTGCCTCCCAAGTGTTGGGATTAAAGGCATGCACCTCCACTTGGCAAAATTTAAGCAGTTTAACAGAGGGAAAAGCAGCACTTTAAAGGAACAGCCTCTTTTTGCTAGTCTTCTAGTTTAGCATCAGTGAAGGCAGTGGTCCTTAGTGATCTGCCTAAATATGTCCACCTTTGCTTTTGCCTTAACAGAAGTTTTGATAACACATTAGAAACAGTATTAATTCCCTCTTCTACCTTTTTGGTAAATATTTATTGAGTAGTTAGTATTACCTGGATGCTGGCTACAAAGAAGCATACTTAACTTGGTTCCCCATTCAGTTGTGTAACTTTAGGAAGGCTTACTTAAGCTACCCCACCCCCACCTCTTCAATTAGAGTTATCTGTGTGCCTGTGAGTGCTGTACCTGAGGAGGCCAGAGACACTGGACTCCCTGAAGTTGGAGATACAGACAGTTGTGGGCCACCTGATGTGGATACAGGGAACTGAACTCTAGTCTTCTGGAACAACAGGCACTCTGAACCACTCACCTAATAACTCTTTAATTCAATGATTCACCGTGGTCTCCAGGTTTTCCTCCTGCTCACATATTTTACGAAATCAGTTTTTGTCTTTCGTTTATCACTGCGCTTTTCCACCTCTAACCTCCCTCCACCCCATTGCTCCAGCTTTGCCCCAGCAATTACTTGTATAGCCTAACTGGATGAACTCGGGGTTTCTACCCTCTGTTATATTTTCCAATAGAAAGAGTCCAGCGGCAGCGTCGGGAGCGAGTTCTTTGTCACAAGGCATCACTAGAAGTGGGAGTTTTACAGGAGACACGATCATGAAATTCGTTAACCCAAAGGAAACCCGACATTGTCAAAGAATTAATTACGAGAACTGGCTTTTGTCTTGTCAGCAAGAGAAAAGGGGGTAAAAAAAAAAAAACCTCTGAAAGCCAAACAGGGCTACAAAGGGAGACTGCCTCCTACCCACCCATCCCCAATCCAACCAAGGAGAAAACTTCAAACGAACAAAGGGACAAGGCTAGTGAAGATGCAAGGGATAAATCAAAACAAGTTCTCGGCCCATCCCCTCAATTCGTGTCGGATGCAGGCTCGCTGTTTACCCTATTGTTTTATTTTTGCTTTTATTTGCCTTGAATTAGCAACCCTCCTGTCTCTACCGTCTAGTGCTGCGACTACGTGCCGGCTTGATTGATGTCCACCCAACAAACTTTAGAGAACTTCAGCACAAGGTTCGCCTTGAGAGTGTAGAGATTACCCCAAAACACGCTGGCAAGGAAAGTCTAAGTTGTACGGAGGGTTAAGTTTCATCAAGGGTGGTGGTACCTTCGGACCCAACCTAGCCCGTTCCACCCTGGGTCTGAGGCTGAGCCCCCACGTTCTAGTAACCCGCCCAATCCAGTCCGCGGGTCTCCTGGAGTGGGCTCAGTGCTCACCGCAGTCCTTGAAGCGCAGGGGCTCGGCCCGGGTGGCGGCAGCGAGCGCCAGTATAAGGATCGTGCAGGCCAGGAAACGCATGGTGGATAAGAACGCTCCGCAATCTAGGAAGGAAAATGCAGCTGCGGCAGTCACAAGATAAACTTGTCACGGCGGACCGAGGGAGGAGCCGGGTCAGGCCACTTGTGACCAGTCACCAGCGAAGGTCCGCCCCCGCCCCGCCCGGGGCTCCAGGGCGCCTGGCGCGCAGCTGGCCCTTTATCTCCGCCCATCTCGTCCCCTCCCAGGCAGGGCCTGCGGAGATCCCGCTCTTCTTTGCGGTCGTCCCACTCTATTGGTACCGCCCAGCGTCGGCAATTGGAAGAGTTTTCAGCCAATCAAAGTCCTCTTATCTCGTTATCCAATAGACACATTTGGGGGCGGGGACTCCGCGCAACCCCGCCCCTGCCCTATCTCCCCGCCTCCCGAAGCCCTGGCCAAGACGGGGATTTGGACCAATGCTAGGGGCGGAGCTTGCGGAGCAAGATGGCGGCCACCAGGCCCTTGTCCCTAACGGCCACGGCGTTCAGGGCGGTCATTCCCTGGCGCCGGGGCAGGTACCAAGAGTGGACAGTCACTTAGGAAGGGTGTTGGGTTCTGCGCCTCCAGGATAGATGTGAGACTAAAGCTCCCGGGGGAGGTGAAAGTTTGGCAGTTCAGATAAAGGTGTCACCAGGTTTGGGTGCGAGGCGGCCGTAGAGGGCATCAGGTGTCACTTCGGTCCCCGGACTTATCCTCCTCCTCATCGCAGGCTCCTCGCGCCCTCTCCCGGGCTCTTGACCCGGTGGGAAGCGACATCCTCCATTCCAGAGGCTGGCGAGGGACAGATCCGCCTCACAGAAAGCTGCGTCCAGGTAAGAGGCCGGGCGCGGGGCGGCGGTGCCCAGGAGCGCTCTAGAAGAGTTCCCTTTCATCCACCCCTTTATCACCGCTTGCTTGGCCTTCTTGATCCTCTTTCCTCCATTTCAGAGGCTTCTGGAAATCACCGAAGGGTCAGAATTCCTCAGGCTGCAAGTGGAGGGAGGTGGATGCTCCGGATTCCAATACAAATTTTCCCTGGATACAGTTATTAACCCCGACGACAGGCAAGGAGGACGGATGGGTCGCTAGAGGCTGTATCAGAGGGATACAAGTGACCCCAGTTTAAGATACACCTTTATTCTAAACTTAAAAGTGTTTAAGTTTGCTCAACGCCACCACTCTCCCCATACTGTGAAGATCAGCAAAGATTTGTCCTATTATTTCAAAATAGTAAGGACATTGGCTTACTTAGGGTCATTTGAGAGAGGCTGAACTAGATTCAGGCCAAGTCCTTAAATGTTTCTCCTGTTCATTGCATTGAACTTTTTCGCTTCAGATAAAGCCAACACCCGATAGAAGTTCTAAACAATATTCCATGTGTTGGAGAACAGAATGTGCACCTATGGCCCCAGGGTGTTGGGTTCTTGGCGTTGGTGATATCCGTCATTAATGCTTTCCTCTTGTCTTTTCAGGGTATTTGAACAGGGTGGGGCAAGAGTGGTGGTTGACAGTGATAGCTTGGCCTTCGTGAAAGGGGCTCAGGTGGACTTCAGCCAAGAACTGATCCGAAGCTCATTCCAAGTGCTGAATAATCCTCAGGCCCAGCAAGGCTGCTCCTGTGGGTCATCCTTCTCTATCAAAATCTGACACGTGACAGGTGACCTTGGGATTGCCATCAGATTGTACCAGAGTGAAAAACTTGGGAATGGTAGAGCTCTAGAAGTTTCTTTCTTATCATGTCCCACTGTCATTTTATTTAATTTAACCCAGGAGTGTTTTATTTTACCACTATTAATTATGGAACATGAAGCTTTTACTCTTGGCCGCAATACTCTCCCCTCCCCCAGCACAATGTTAAGGCCGCGTCCAAGTGTTGTTACCTCAACTTTAAGCACTGATTGGAACCCAGTATAATCTGTAGCACCTCCAAGACTCCAGAATTTGGAGTTAACGTCTCTACCTTCAGAATTGTTTGTATATATGTGTATAGATGTATATAAAGCATCTTCTTAAATTATTCCTTATGTTTCAATCAGGGTCAATGTTTGGGCAACTTGAACACCAGTAACCAGAATCAATTAGAAAGGCAAATGAAATATTCTCTTTTTTTCCTTCCTTCCTTCCTTCCTTTCTTTCAACAGTCTTATAGATAACTCTGGTTCTGAACTCTCAATTTTCCTGTCTCAGCCATGTTACTACTGGAACTGGTTCATTCCTTTTTCTTTTCTTTCTTCCTTCCTTTTGAAATTTTTTTTTTGAAAAATTTTTTTTTTTTGGTATGTGTGTGGTCACACTCTCTCCCCGCATTGGACCCAGGGCACTTGCCTGCCTGGCAAACCCCCTAGCACAGTGTTCTCCTATCAGTCCCATTGGATGTCACATATCAGATCCTGATCATCAGATATTTACACAATGATTCATAATAGTAGCAAAATTGCAGTTATGAAGTAGCAAAGAAAATAATTTTATGGTTGGTATACCACCACAGCCTGAGGAGCTGTGTTGAAAAATCACAGCCTCAGGAAGGCTCAGAAGCCCTGCTCCAGCACTTGACTTATGAGCCTAGTCTGCTTTATTTTTTATCTGGAGATAGGTCTCTCAGAATTTCCCTGGCTGGCCATGAATTCCCTCTAGTTCTGACAGGCCATGAATTTTCAGTGCCCTGGTCTTAGTGTACTAATTAGCTGGGGTGTCAGGTCTGTGCCACCAGCCCAGTTGTACTGCAGTCTTTGAACATGTTGGGGATTTCTTGTGTCCTATGAAGCTCGTTCTCCACTTGTAGGGAAAATACATTCAGTTGTCACACTCATGAATCTGCTAGGTTTTATAAAACCAAGAGAGTCCCCCCAGGCCACTGAAAAACAAATTTGGCCAGACCTCTCTTGATATCTCAATTACCTGAAAAATAGCCTTTCTATTCCATGTCCATAGAGGTGCTTCAAGATTCTGTGACCATTTAGTAATTGAATTTATGTAGAATATTTTGCTTCACCTACCTTATTATATATAATATCTTTGGTTTTATGATTAGGGGAAGTGGTTCCTTCATTATTTGTAGATAATAGAAAAGACTTTTTCAAGAGTACATTAAATATAAGATGAACAGTAAAATTTGGATTTCAGATGTATAAGTAATTTTGTGTTATTTAATCCTTAATATGTATCATACTTATATAGGTCTATTAGACATATATTTACTAAACCTTCTATTGCAAGCCATTGATTATTAGAATGAAAGCTGTTTTTGTTTTTGTTTTTTTCTGAATCAGGGTTTCCCTATATAGTACTGGCCATCCTGGAACTCACCGTGTAGACCAGGCTGGCCTTGAATTCACAGAGATCCCGCTGCCTCTGCCTCTCAAGTGCTGGGATTAAAGGTGTGTGCCACCACCTTCAGCCAAAAGAAAAGTTTTCTCTTATAGAACATCAAAAAGTAACCATATGGGGGCTGAAGAGATGGCTCAGCAGTTAAGAGCACTTGCTGCTCTTCCAGAGGATCTGAGTTTGATTCCCAGAACCCACATGGCAGCTCACAACTATCTGTAGCTCCGGTCCCAGGGGATCGGTTTGATACCTTCTTCTGGTCTCTGGCACAGGCACACACTTGGCACATACATGCAGACAAAACATCCATATACACAAAATAAAAATAAAACTTTAAAACCCAAAAATACTACTAGAAAAGGGACATGTCACCTTCATCACTCGTGGCTCAAGACCAGCGTGTTTTCACAACTGCGCTTCTTTACGAGTCAGCATTATGTAGCGGTAACTATGGAAACCGTCAAGATGAGTTCCAGTTATATTATGCTCCAAATTATGCTGTGCTCCTGGGCACCCTGGGGTTATTTTAAGTCTTCCATTTTAATCTTGGGACTCTAAGAACATCTTTGCTTTAATTGGTTTTCTGTTTCCGTTTTCATCTTCATAATTGGCACAGTCCGTCTTGGCAAGCTTCCAGCTATTCCCAGCAAAGTCTCGTATTTTCTAGACATTTCTTCATCTGTTTCTTCATTTTCAAGTTCTACTGTGGCATCTTGATAATCTTCTGCTTCGTTTTTAAGACTTATCTGAAACATTAACTTCTTAGTCTCAGGATTAAATCCCTAAATGCATTTGCCCATAGAAAAGGAGTTCTGCTCTATATAATGATGTGCACTCGCTTCCAGTTCTGGCAAACCCGAGCACCAGTGCTCTTCTCTAGTGATGTTTCTTGTTTTCTGGGTTCAAGCCCAGTGCCCTCTGCATGAACTTCATGCACTGAAGACTTTTGGATAACTCGGTCTTGTACTCATATGCCACGAGCTCCACTCCACCTAAGAAAAGCTTTGTAAAACCCAAATTCTAATAATTTTTAAGGTACTTAGGTGTGGACTACAGAACTTGAAACAACTATATTGAGTGCTATGGAGTCCAGAACTGTTTAGACGGGTACTAGAAAAAGATTCCACACCACGTCACAACAGATAACTGTTAATACTGTGGGAAACCATAGACATCTGGACTCTGGGTGTTACTGATCAAATGTATCTTTTCTCCATATCCTAAGAGTTTGGTGTAGAGAAGAGAGGACTAAATTTTGTTCTTAGCACTGTGTGAGGAGACTCATAACCTCCTTTACCTCCACCTTCAGGGGACCAGACACCTTTCTGGACTCCAAGGTCACATGGCACTCATGTGCATACCCCCCCGCCCCATAATTAAAAGCAATTTAGACAGGCGGGTATGGTGGCACACATCTTTAATACAAACACTCAGGAGGCAGAGGATCTCTACTAGTTCAAGGCCAGCCTGGTCTACACAGCAAATTCCAAACCAGCCAAGGTTATATAGTAAGACTGTTGCAAACCAACCAAAAAAGCTTGTTACAGCAAAACGTTTATTTATGTACTAGATAGGAACTAACGTCATCTAGTAAGATAGTTTGCCAAAAAAAAAAAAACAACTGGAAATCAAGTTTGGAATCAGAAACTGACATTTTCAGTGTGTGAAAATCTTGGAAGTAGTAAGCAGATCAGAGGCATAGAGGGCAGGCAGATTCCTTACCTGCTTAGGAGCAGCTCACTCGGTGTATGTGTTACTAAGACTGAAAGTCAGTGACAATGGCTGGGCCTAAGATTTTCAGTTCAGACTGCTAACAGCCTTTTTCATTATTAAAAGAGATTTTACTACATTTTAAAGATTACAACCTATTGTTGCCAGGTAGTGATGGTGCACACCTTTAGTCCCAGCACTCAGAAGACAGAGGAAGGGGGTCTCTGTGAGTTTGAGGCCAGCCTGGTCTACAGAGTGAGTTCCAGGATGTCGAGGACCAGCCTTGAGAAAAATACTTCTTACCAGGGTAGGGGTGTGGGAATTTAGAAACATAAGTAAAGAATATGAAGACACATAAAAAAAAAATAACAGGACAGAACCCATAGAAAGTATCAGGAGGGCATTCGGACTGAAATCACCTGAGTTTATTTTTCCACAGTTTTCATGCCCAATGTAAATGGGGGGGGGGTAACAAAAGACTTTATTAACATGATACAAAGGACAGCTCACATAGCCAATTGCTTTAACTCTCTGAGACATCAAATCATTAGCATTCTGTTGTCTAGGTAGTGAAGGTGTTCTAGATCACATATCCTGAAGGCAGCCCCTCTCCAGGTGACCTCATAGTTAAAAAAGGAGCAGAAGTACATTTGCCTGTCCTTACCACCTGTCAGGATGGCATGGATATATTTAAACTAGCTATTTTAATGTTTAAAAAAACAAGCAATCACATCCTGAGTTGGGACACACAACTATGCTTGTCTATCACTTGAGCAACCTCCAAACTCTCTGACCATCAGACAAGGTGGAAATGGGCCCACATTTTTGGGCCTCCACACAGGATAGACATGGCTACACAGAAAAACCCTTTTCCAAAAACCTAATAAATGTCTTTTTAAAACTATATGTATGGGTTTTTTTTTTATATGTCTGTGTACCACATGTGTGTAGTGCCAGTGAACCAGAAGAGGGTATCATGCCCTGAGACTGAAGTTAAAAATAGTTGTGTGCCACTATGGGGCCACTGGGAATCAAATCCCCATCCTATGAAAGAACAACCAGTGCTCTTAACCATTGAGCATCTCTCCAGCCCCCGAGCATCTCTCCAGCTCCCAACATCTCTCAGCTCCCGAGCATCTCTCCAGTCTCCAGCATCTCTCCAGCCCCCCAGCATCTCTCCAGCCCCCAGCATCTCTCAGCTCCTGAGCATCTCTCCAGCCCCCCAGCATCTCTCTAGTCCCCGAGCATCTCTCCACTCCCCGAGCATCTCTCCAGTCCCCCAGCATCTCTCCAGTCCCTGACCATCTCTCCAGCCCACAGCATCTCTTCAGCCCCTGAGCTTCTCTCCAGCCCCAAAGAGCCTACTCTTCAAGAATATTTTTATAGGTTATTGATGTAGTAGTTTTAAAATTCCCAAGTACAAACATTGTTGCTAAGTATTCTCCACTAAATTGCAGTGACCAAGCAGGCAGAAACAAGGTCCCCTAGAATGTCAGAGCCTATGTCACTTGCCTTCTGGTAATGGAAGAATTGAATTTTGTATTTAGAAAAAGGCAGGTTGGGGAAGTGCAAAAGTAGTCATTCTTTCTTATTTATGGAAGAATGTTTTTCAGAGGACTTAATCCTGGTGGTGGGGACACTTCATGAGGCAACTAAAGTGTCAGAAGTCTCAGAAGAGTGACTTCCACCCATGGCATGATAGGAACAAGGACACTGGACTATTTGCTATTTGCCTGCACTAACAAGCAGCCATAGAGTTCTCTGCAAGCCCTTTCTGGCCAAATGCCCTCTTCCTGAGAAGCCATAAAAGCTGGCTGACAAACATTATTGCAAGTTTTACTCACTGCTAATACGTTTCAATGGAAAGATTTTTCATTCGCCTTCCACCCCTGGGCCCATTTTTTTTCCTTTCATTTCTTGAGACAGGGTCCTGATTGGTCACCCAGGCTGGCCTTGAACTCATTCTATAGTTCCAGCAAGCCTTGATTTTGCACTCCTTTTAAGAGTGGGTGGTATTACAGCTGTGTACCACCAAGCCCAATTTACCAGAACTTTTATTAAGACTTTTATTATTTGTGTGTATGAGTGTGTATCTGTGCCAATGTATGTCATGCATATAAGGGTGCCTGTAGAGGCCAGCATAGTATGTTGGATCTCTTGGAGCTGGAGTTATAGGCATTTGTAGAACTAACCAACATGGGTGCTGGGAACCAAACTCCAGTTCTCTGGAAGAGCAGGAACGCATCTTAACTACTGAACCATCATTCCAGTCCCACTAGAGCCCTCACTATTCCTTTTCGTCTTTTTGAGGCAAGAGTTTTAATGTGTAGCCCAGGCTGATCTTGTTACACCGTGTCAGTTCACACTGGCCTCAAGTTCTTGCTCTTCCTACCATAGCCTCCTGGGTGCTGAGAATTACAGGCATGTGTTCCCATATCCTGCTCTCCCTGTTATCCTGAAGAGCGTTTGTCAAGGCCTCAGTTGTTGCAGAATTGGTTTCTATGCTAATCTGTGTCTGAGCCCCCCTCTCCTTTTTCTTTTTCTCTGTTGGGGAGGGAGTATTGAGCAAGGGACTCAGAGGCTAGACAGTATGGCTTAGGCTTTCTATTGCTGTGACAAAAAGCAAGTTAGGAGGAGAGGGTTTATTTGACTTATACTTCCAGATCATAGTCCATCATCAAAGGAAGTCAAACTGGGCAGGAACCTGGAGATAGGAGCTGATGCAGAGGCCATGGAGGGGTGCTGCTTACTGGCTTACTCCCCATGTCTTGTTCAGTCTGCTTTCTTTTGTTTGTTTGTTTGTTTGTTCTGTTCCGTTCTGTTTTGTTTTTTGTTTTTTTCGGAACAGGATTTCTCTGTATAGCTTTGGAGCCTGTCCTGGAACTCACTCTGTAGACCAGGCTGGCCTCAAACTCAGAGATCCGTCTGCCTCTGCCTCTTGAGTTCTGGGATTAAAGGTGTGTGCCACCACCGCCCAGCTTTAGTCTGCTTTCTTATAGAGCCCAGAACCATCAACTCAGGGATGGCACCACCCACAATAGGTGGGGCACTCCTCCATCAATCACCAATTAAAAAATACCCTGCAGGCTTGGCTATGGCCCATCTTGTGGAGGCATTTTCTTAATTGAGGTTCCCTTCTCTTAGATGACATAAAACTAAACAGGCCGTCGTATATTTCATCTTTAGTCAAATCATATTAATGCAATGAACAAAGAAGACAAAGGATCTCCGAGCCTATGTTAGGTTGATATTTTGAAGAGGGGGGCCTCCTGGCCAATCCTATTGTGCAATTATACTTTACAGTTATATGATGATAGTGACAGGTGTGTGTAAACTGTATGTTTACCTATCTGTGTGATGGGACCGCTGATTTTAAGAGATTAGGAGGAAGAGATGAACAAGGACTGCCCATGCTTGAGAGTTTGTTTGGGGACGATTGCTGTGTGGTGTCATCTTCCACTTGCTATTTGGAACCCTTGTACAGAATTCTTTGCCTTTGTGTATGACAAGAATAAAAGATTTGATGACCACAGCTGACTGCCAACAGCCGAGCCTTGGAAATCAATGACTTTTGAAGATGTAGCCATGTACTTCACCAAGCATGATTGATCAGAAGGCCCTGTGCAGGGATGTGATGCAGGAGAGCTTTGCACATGTGGCTTTTCTGGGGTATATGTCAAGACTAAGAAAACACGCCCGACTAGCTGAAAGGATTATGTGTGAGAAAACATCCTTCTAAGCCGGCTATGCTGGGAAGGCAAGACGGTGTATTTCTTACCTAAGTATCTGTTTGCAAGGGACCAAGGTTGGAGAGTCATGTTAGGCGATGTCAAGTACAGTTTTCTTTGGTAATCATATGTATTTCCATATATGGGCTTTGTAGTTCATTAAAGTTGCTTTTTGATGGGGGATGGGGAGAAAGAATGAAAAAGGTGTTTGAGTGATGTTTGCTGTTACTCTGAGAACTGAATTCTGTTCTTTGGTCTTTTGTTGCAGCCTCTCAGAGGAGGGTTGACACTTAGCAGGCACAACCAGAGAGATGGAGTAGGCTAGCCCTCCTTGTGTCTCCTCTGAGCTGATGTTACAGATCTGGCCCAGTGAGTCACACAGTTCGTGTGTTTGCTGAAAGGCAGAGTTTTCTTTTCTTTTTTTTTTTTTTTGTCCCCCTCTAGGATTGCAGTCTGCAGTTGCTCTCTTGGAGTTCTTCCCCTGATGTCAGGGTCCAGCCTCAATGGGTTTGCACGTTCCAGGGAAGGGTCGTGTGGATTAGAAACATTAGGTAGGAGGAACGGAGATATGGAAGAAAAGGAAGAGAGACGCAGAATAGAACCCGAGGGCAATCCAGTAAATACTGAATTCACCTGCTTTTATTTTCCATATACCTGTGTACACCCCAGTCCAAAAGCAGGGGGCAAGAAGGCAAAAGATTGCTTTAACATGATACAAAGAACAAACAGAGCAATTAACTGCTTCAATACCTGAAACATCAAGCCACTATATCCTGAATTAAGCATACTGTTGTTTAGGCAGGACATGCAACAACAATACCTTAGACAGAGCATTCTGTAGGCAGTCACTCCCTGGGTCAAACTTCCTGTCATATCCTTGAATGAGCAGGAATAGGCTTGAATTCTCTGACCTTTGGTCAGGGTGGGATGAATCCACTTCTGTGGGCTCCCATACCCTATGAAAATACTATAGAGCTGTTTGATGGAAATTTGCTAAAGAGATTTCAAAATGATTACTTTAACTAAAACAATAGATAAATATATAAAAGGAGGGGGCATTGAAGCAATGGTTAGCCAGCAGCTATATTTAAAAATATTTTATTTTTCTTGAGTAGGTAATACATCTACAAATTTAAAGGGGGGGCAATACAGTAAAAAAAAGAAACTCAGTATTTTCTTTATCCCTCTGTCACTCTCCCCACACCCCATATTGTTTTCAGGAGTTTAATCTCATAAATATAACATTCAATAACACACGTACAGGAGTACTCGCTACAGCCTTGTGAGCAAAGGTGGGCAATGGAACTGGACTGGTTGAGAAAGTTCTGGCTTATCCGTTCCATAGAATAGTATACAGCTATAGAATAGAATGCGACCATTGTCTATTACTTCGTCTCATTTTGTAGTTCAGGCTGCCCTAGCTCTAACAGTCCTCTTGCCTCAGCCTTCCGAATGTAGGTGTGATAGGTGAGGCCACATGAGATAATTCTGTAGGAGCAAGTATAGAAGAACAAGAATGTAGCTGGATATGGTAGGCTATACCTGGAGTGCCAGCACAAAGGAGGAAGAGAGTTGTTGGTTCTAGGCTAGCCCGGCCTACTTGGTAAAATCCTGTCTCAAAAAAAAAGGGGGGGGCACTGTGCAGAGCAGAACAGCATGCACACTATTTTATTTCTGTTTTTAATAAAAGACACTCTGTGTATGTGCGTGCAGCATGGCTGAAGGCTGAACAGGGACACAAAGGGTGGGGGCTCTGAGGGCAGGTGCACAGTGCCAGCAGGGCATGCTTGGGCAAAGGATGGGTGTAAGGTGAAGTGGTGAGGATGAGGTTACTAGAGGTCCACTCAGACAGCAGCTCACCTTCCACCCTGTTCTACAGCCTGCTCCCCCATCTGGTCAGGACATCTCTCTTGACAGGGTGTCTAGCCCGCCATCTGTTTTTGAGCACACCATAGCAGTCATTTCTAATCTTCTGCTATTACAAACAGTGCGTGATGGCATCTTTGGTGAGAATATATCTGAAGGTTACAGGCCTGGGAGTGGAATTTCTGGGTCAGAGAGCTAGCTTTGTGCCTGCGAAAGCCAGCCATAACGTGTTCTTCAGGTGCTGCGCAGCATCCGCCTCCCCCAGTTGCCGCAAATGTGTCTGTGTCACCAGAGCCTTGCCACCAGAAGTCTGAGCAAACTTCTACCTTAGTTGATCTCTAAAAAGTGTCTTCACTATTCTTCCCCCTCTCCTGATGCATTAGGAAGAGAACCCCGGGATCTTACGTACCCCAGGTGAACACTCTATCAACTGAGCTAAATCCCCAAGTAAATAGCATTTCTGTTAGGAACAAAAGAATATTTTCATTGATTTTTGTCTGCTGAGGACACTTCAACTGGGATAATGGCCTAAAGAAAATTATTTAAGCTTCCTGTGTCTCGGTTTTCTTGTGTGTACATAGGAATAAAGTAGTAAATGAGGTTGTTGTGTGAATAGATGAAATTTATGCGTAACCCTCATTACAACACTCAGATACAGCAGGCATTCAGTTTGAAGTTACATGGCGGCTGATGACCAGAGCAGCAGGCAGGACAGGGCAGATTTAAGAAGTAGCAATCTTCTCCATGGCTTCTGTCAGATGAATCCTTGTTACATCAATCTGGGAATTGATGCCAATCTGGGAAATGCAGCAAGTCTGCCTTGCCTTAGGACAGTATCGAGCCTCCCGCACTCCGGGGGCTGGGGAGCTGGACATGGAGCACCTGCAGGCTCATTCCTAATCTAATCTTTAGACCTAACCAACATGGTAAAGTTGGTATATCAGGAAATAGACACAGGCACAGGAAAGTCCGGATGAACACTCCTTTATTCCACCATGCTCCTGAACTCCCAGCTGGCTTGTATGGAAGTGCATCTCTTAGAGGGATTCCAGACATTCATTTTTTTTTTTTCTAAAGGGAACAAGGGCAAGGCTTTCTGAGTAGAGGGGATGACAACACTGAAAATCTGGCTTCCTTGGTCAAGACCAACTGAAAGAGAGACCTTGTGTTGTTAGTCCACCAATCACAAAAAGCCCAGAAGAGATTTGGTTCCTGAAGGGAGCGTGTATCTAATAAAGGTCTTTGGAGATGGGCACTGTATCACTGCTGGTGCATAGCGGTTCTAAGGTGGCTCCGAGTACTTATTTCCCCAAAGCTACTCAGTATTTTTAGATTTGTATAAATCCTGGCTCCTCCTCTCATATCAGCTCCCCATGGTTTTTGTAGCCCTCTCTTGCTGCTTTCTCGGCTCATTCCTCTTCATTTGGGTTTCTTGCACTCAGCAAGTTAGTATTAGTCTCCATCCTCTGAGATGAGGGAAATAGGTCCCTTCCTAGGACCACAGACTGTTACAGGGTGGAGATGTGGCAAAAAGAGGTCACACCAGATTGACTGGGTGGTTGTAGTTCAGAGAGGTGGCATTGGAGCTGTCCCCCAAACTTTTCCAAACCCTGTCTTGCTCCACAGATTGTGAAGGGCCCTCCCAGGGCAGATGTAGCCGCTGCCCCAGTTGTGGAACCATCTGGATGATGTGTGGATCACAGCTGGAAAGAGGTGCCTGCAGCTTTTGCACAGCCTAAGTGGAGTGGGTGAGGACTCTTCTGATGCGTGTCCTCCAGCGAGGCCCCAAGGACAGGTGTTGGGCTGCGTCTCATGGCCAGTGGCTGAAGCATTAAAATATTTGTGGTGTCTGAGCCAAGCAATGGCGTAGAGGCAGTGACGGAAGCTCACAACCAGAACTAAGCTGGAAGAGATTTTGAAAAAAAAGCAGGCAAGGCTAGCAGAACTTGGCTACAGAGCCCTGGCCTGATGACATCACCTTGTCTTCCCAGCCGTGATGTTTTCCCAGCCAGGGAAGCCATCTTAAGTTCCCAGCCTACGTCTGAAGCCATTTCCAGATAGCTGCCACCAGCGATCCCTCACTTCTCCTCCTTGGCCGCACAGTGTGGGGGGCCTGGCTCTGCCACATAACCTGGGGAGCAGTGGCAGCGATAGGAACCCTCTGTGTTCTCACAGTGGCCATGTGCACAGAGTGCTGCAGGTCCATTCAAGTCTTCACACTCATTCACATCTATGGAAGCAACAAAGAAAGCTGTACGGGGCTCTCTGGCCCTCTAGCCACCACCAGCCCCTACTCCCTACCCTGGATATGACACCCAAACCAGACAACTTAGGGACAAAAACCAAGAAGCAGTCATCTCTTAGCATACCCAGGACCATAACTTCTTGTCCCTGCTTCTCCTCCGCTGGAGATCATCCGTCCAATGATTTTCCCAGGAAGCATTAAAATAAACCTCCTTGGTGCTTTTGCAATCACTACCTTGACACATGCCCACTAGGGGGCAGCAGCGTATTTCCAAGCTTTCCTAAATTCTGTCGTACAGCAGGGGTCATTCTCACAGCTCCAAACTTACCCACACAGGCCATATGGGCTGCATCCAGCTGGAAGCCTTCAAAGCAGTCACAAGTGTAGCCCTCCCGCACGCGCACACAGCGGCCATTCTCACAGCCATTCAGGATGCCACATTCCTCAGCCTGAAGTCCTTCGAAGGAGGCCAGTGGCTCTGAGAGAGGGTCAGAAAGAATAATGCTGAGGCCTGTGCTTAGACCCCAGTCTCACTAGGACCTACACTCCCCAGTACAAAGGTTTTCATTGTTGAGTGCCAGGGGTGGGGTTGTGTTGGTAGATCTCTCTCTCTCTCTCTCTCTCTCTCTCTCTCTCTCTCTCTCTCTCAGATTTACTTATTATGTTCTGCCTGCGCCAGAAGAGGGCACGAGATCTCATTCCAGATAGTTGTGAGCCACCATATGGTTGCTGGGAATTGAACTCAGGACCTCTGGAAGAGCAGCCAGTGATCTTAACCACTGAGCCATCTCTCCAGCCCTCATGTTGGTGGGTCTTAAGAGTCCAAATGAAAGATACTGAAACCGAAAGCCATACTGTCCTGAAGGTTTAGAGTGATAGCCACTTGTGGTAGTGTTGGACCCAAGCCTTTTAATGTGAAGTCTTGACCGACCATGACCAGTGTCCTTCCCCTTCCCTGTCTTCACCCCAGCGGCAATATGACTGACAGGCAGATGGAGGGGATGAAGGAATGGTAGTGCCCATCTCTTCTCCAGTTTTGCTACACGTACCAGGATGACTGGCCACATAGTGAGGCTGGAGTTCAGAGGGCTGCAAAGGAGGCTCCAGGACCGGCTTGTTGTCTCCTAGCTCACTGGCCATGTTGGAGAAGGGAGGCTCGGGAATAGTGTCCTCCGGGCCCAGGTAATTGTAGAAAGGGGCTCCATCTGGACCATAGAGATTGTAGGGCAGATCGTCTGGGCCAGGGCCATACTCATAGCCTGGCCGGAAGTGAATCCCTGCTTCCCGCTCTGCCTCAATCCGAGCCACATTGCACAGTTGAGCATAGACTTCTGTTGGGGAGAAAGGAGAAAGGGAACCGGACTTTAGCTCCAGCTAGCTCAAGCTTGGCGAACTGGTTCATTGGGCTCTTTGCCCGTGAAGAGAACGTGAGGATTCCTGACCACACTTGTGCCTCTCTTTGTCCTGACAACTGGGATGGAGGACGAAGCCACTGCTCAAATTGCTCTCCTCCTCCTTCCAAGGTGATAGCACCCCTTCCCAGAGCGACGCCCAGGGCACCTTCTTACCAGAGCTCCTGGGGGGGCACAGAGCACACTGCTGGCTCCAGGCCTCGCCATCCTGGCAGCAGCATTCTGTGTAAGTAGTACGGTGCCCACGCAAGGGTTGACTGCACACGTCATTGGTGACTTTCTTCCAGCAGATGTCCATGTGGATGTCATGGTCAGGGAAGTCCTCTGGTGACATAGACCCCAGAAACAAGTGAGTCCCAGATCAGGCCTGTGCCACCCGTTGCCCACACCCCATCCAGTCACCTGTGCTGCTGGTACTGTTGACACAGCGTTGGCCACTAAGGTCCAGGATGAGGGGGGGACTACAGAAACAATGGAAGGAGCCTTCTGTGTTCATGCACTCCCCGTTCTCACAGACCACATCCTGGCATTCGTCGTGATCTGTGGCGTCAGAGAATGGTGCAGTGGGTCAGTGACCTTTGACAGCAATGCTCAGGGAAGGATCTGCCTCGGGAGGCCCATGAAGATGCCCATTCTGGAAGGGCTCTCTCTAGAGACAATATCCGAGAGCATAGAGCTCCCCTCACCTCAGACCCGCCTGCTGCAGTGGGCATCTTTCCCAGGGGGGACTCCCAGCAAGAGTGGGACTGGGGTTAGCAGGCCCTTGTGAGTCCTCACCCTGGCACTTCCTGCTGGAGGCGTCGTAGTGGTAGCCAGGGTTACACAGGCAAATGTAGCCAGGCACTGTGTTGAGGCATCGGCCATTCTGGCAGAGAGCAGACCCGAACAGGACACACTCATCGGCATCTGACAGAGGGCAGGGTGAGGCAGAAGGAAAGACATGGCAGGAAGGGAAGCTTAGAGCTTACATCCAGCTGTTGGAGTGGGTTGGGCAAGTTGTTTGTGTTCTTCTTGACTTAGCTTCTCTAAAATACTGTTTAACCTCTTGTAATGAGGATTAAGAAATGCTAATACCCATAAAGTACTTTAAGTAGCTCTCGGTATAGAGCAAGCCCTTGGGGGTGTTCAGTGGTACAGTGTCTGCCTTGCATACATGAAGCCAATGGTTTTATTCCCAGCAACACACACACACACATACACACACACACACACACATACACACACACACATACACACACATACACACACACACATACACACACACACACACACATACACACACACACACACACACACACACACACACACACTTTGTTTCCATTATCTCCTTCTCAGGACTAGCTTTTTGAATAAGGTACCAAGGGGCCCAGTACCTGAAATTCTCCAGTGAGACTGAGCTCCCCAAAGTGTCTGTTTTGGTGGGGGGGACCTGTGTGGCAGTGCAGTACCCTCAGTCTGTCCCTCTGTCCAGGTATGGGAGAGGTGAGGTTAGACACCACAGTGCACCCTCTAGACTTGAGGGCACAGGGAAACTGAGTTTAGGGTCATGTGAACACTCCGGGAGGAGCTTAGTTAAAACTTTTCAGTTAAACATATCAGGGATAGAAATGTTCCAGAGCCCAAAAGAAAGAAACTACCTGGAAGCCAGGGCTGGGTGTAGATTTTCTGGAACCTTACAGAGAACCAGGCCAGGGTTTACTGGGACAAGTGGAGTCTGGGGAGGAGGGTGCGGAGACTGATTACCTGTGTACATGGTGGGTCCAAATGTCCAGGTTCCTTCCACAGGGATGTAGCCTTGACCACTGGGGCAGAGTTCACTGAATTCAACTGTGTAGGAAGGCATCCAAGCTCAGAGAGGGAATGGTATGTCTCCCCACGCCCACTTTTTTACGGGTCTAATTATATAATCGAGGCTGGCGTGGAACTTTGCTATGTAGCTCAGACTTGCCTCAGACTCCTGATCTTTCTGTTCCAGCCACCTGAGTGCCGGGGTTACAGGCGTGTGTCATCACCCCTGGCTCCTTTCCCCTGTTAGGCGCCACTCTGCAAACTGACCCAAAGGGTCTTTGGCGTCCTTGAAGCCTTACCTGAGCCCTCAGATGGGCAAGGGTCACAGGCTTTTCCCCATCTGGCACCCTGAGTACAGCAGCACTCGGCCTTTGTGGAGTTCCAGCCCAGGATGCTAGAGCAGGAAGGCCCGCCATTACTCTCAGAGTAGCATTCCATGCGGATGAGGCCTGGAGTTGGGTCCCCTGTTGGGACCTCTGGGATGCTCTGAGCTGTGTGTGACAGAAGCCCCTTATTAGTGTCTGTTCATGACCCTCTGAGGTATCCCTGCCATCAAGTTGGTCTTTGAAATATAATGTCTATATAGAGCCTTATGGTGTACATGATCTCATGTAGTACCTCAGTATCCCCAGGACTGGCTAGTGTTATCATCCCCTGCTACAAAGACACTGCACCTAAGAAGTTACATTTAAAAAGTTATTATGGAGGGCTGGAGAGGTGGCTCAGCGGTTAAGAGCCTTGCCTGCTCTTCCAAAGGTCCTGAGTTCAATTTCCAGCAACTACATCGTGGCTCACAGCCATCTGTAATGAGGTCTGGTGCCCTCTTCTGGCCTGCAGGCATACACACAGACAGAATATTGTGTACATAATAAATAAGTGTTAAAAAAAGTTATTATGGAGTGAAATGGGGCTCTGATGTCCAAACACCTGATGTTTCTAGTGTACTATTTGCCCACAATCCCCATGGGCAATATTCATCTCTAGCATAGCATACCTTCTGCTCCTCAGGGACCCCAAACCCTTCTCCCCTACCCCCATTTTCCCTTACAAAGTTCCCCTTGATTTTTTTTCCAAGTCATTGAAGCCAGCCGAGTCCTGGTCCAGCCTGAGGTAGAGTGGCAAAAGGGAGGGGAGGGTCCATCTTAGCTCAGTTTCAAGGTCTCCTTAATCCAAAAGACTCATCCAAGGATTAGGTGAATTCTGGGTCTCTACTAAACTCAACCTGAGGTCCATGGGGGTAAGTACCATAGCACCCCGAATTTCCTTAGGTCATCCTAGACCTTCAGGGGGAATATTGTCTAGCAGGTGCTGGCATGTGTGGCTCATGTCCCCTGCACAATCCATTTCTAACCATGCCCCCAGCATGGTCCCAAAGAACTCTACTAAGTGGCAGGCGCTAGGTCAGTGTTGGACTTTTGTAAGTCTGAGTCCTCATGGAAAATGGCAGGAAGTGAAAGGGCCTGAGTCTCCCGGGTCTCACCTCCAGTCACCCGAGGCCGGCAACGTCCTTCTTGTGCGTCGTATTCCTCAAGGTCGCTCGCGCAAAGGCACAGGAAGGAGCCTTCCACGTTCTCACAGAGTGCAGCCCCACACACTGCCAGCATGAGTTCACACTCATTCACATCTGCCAGGCACAAGGACAGCCTCGTGTACAGAGAAGAGGTAGCTAATGCACCCTGCCCCCAATTACAGCAGGTTCTCATCCCGCCCCCAGGAGAACCATGCTCGGAAGAAGCAAAAGTGGGTATGAATTAGCAGGGAGGGCACCGGTGGGCAGAGAGCTTGGGAAGGAAAGCGGGCACAGTTGCTGAAAGTGGCTTTAACCATGAACAAAGAGAGTGCCCTCCTCTAGGCACCTCTTGAGCCCCCAAGTTCTCCAGGGAATTGAGTGGGGCAGGAGGTCTCTTCCTTCTTGTGCTTGCTCCTTATGTGGCCGCACTGGCCATTCTCCTACCAGCCCAGCAGCAGCGCTAGCTGGAGGGGATTCTCCCTCCCTTGAGCTTCTCTTGCCCACCCTTTGGGGTCCTGTCCTGGAGCTGTGTAAACATGTGTGGTTTGGAAGAGGGCCCTATCACTTCCTTTCAAGAAAGAAAAAAAAAATTGGTAGAAATGAGAAGGGCCCAAGGGCCTTTCCTAGCCCAGACCTTGGGTAGCCCGCAGGCTTCTCACCAACACATTCCCAGCCTGAGGGTGAGGTCTCAAAGCCCTGGTCACACAGGCAGCGGAAGGAGCCGTCCGTGTTGTCACAGAAGCCATGATTCCCACACACAGTGTCATTGGCACATTCGTCTATATCTGTGGGATGATGGAGACTAGGGTAGAGGGTATGCATGCCTGCTTGTGTGCTGGGAATACTTATGTATCTGGTCTATTAACACTAAGATTTGCAAACAAAACAAAACAAACAACCCCCTCCCCCCACACACACCCCATCCCGGGCCCAGCACAAGAAAGCTTTGACTACACATTCTTCTTCAACTTTTGGGACAGCTTCGCTGTATGGAAAATAAACAACTGCTCAAACGGTTCCTGCGAGAGAAACCGTTTCTAGTTGGATGCATGGAAAACCAGATGTCCTCAGCCTTCCTTGGCCCTCCCTCCTCTATCTTCCCCACCCCTGTTCTACTCACCAATGCAGTCTCCGGTTGGGGCCATGTAGAAGCCAGGCTGGCAGCCTAGGACACAGCGATACGAACCAGGGCTGTTCTCACACCTCCAGGCTCCACACACAGGGTCTTCCTCGTCTTCACACTCATCAATATCTGTCCCCAGAGCCATGAGAAGGGACAGTTGTGTGGTTAGGTCACCGTTCTGGCCCCACCTTGCTGACCTGACAAGCCCACAGCTTCTGAGGTCAGCTTCAGATCAGCATGCTCATCTCAGCCCAGGAGATTAACTCAGGAGAATTTCCCCTGACCCAGCAGGGCTGAGCATTTAGGAAGAGAACTAGAAACCATTTGGGAAGCCTCCTCCCCTCTGATCCCCAACAGAGCGCCCTGCCATTTTCACCACAGTGGAGTTCAGGGAGTTTTCTTCAATATTTGTCTCCCTTATTCAATTTCAAGATCGTCTGTAATCATCTGTCTTACCAAAAGACATTGAACATAGCAGGTGCTTAATATCTGCTGAATGTTTTTGGCTTTTAAAGCTACTTTGTGTCTTCTGCTGGCACAAAGATTCTGACTGTCTTTGTTAAGCCAGTCCTTGCATCATCAGAAGCTCAATAAATGCATTATCCTTTGGATCCTGTAGAAAATGCTGTATTTCCTGGGAAGCTATGTTCCTTGTTCCAGGGAGCTAAGGACCACAGAGGGACAGAGGTGGGCACAAGTGAGGCAGGGTCCCATCCAATCCTTAGAGTCCTTACCCACGCACTCTCCGCTGTCTGGGGAGGGCTGGAAGCCGGTCTCACACAGACAGTTGAAGGAGCCCTCTGTGTTGACACAACGCCCTCCCAGACATGGGTCTGTGGCTGCACACTCGTCAACATCTAGGAGAGAGACACCAGTCAGCAGATGCAAGCATGGGTCTCTTTAGAGCTTCATAGAGCTCTGAGCCACTTCCTTTGGACCTCAAGAAGCTCATCGGAGATCCAAAGAGAAGCTCCGGGCAGGAAGATCAAGGGACAGCCCAGGTCATGCTGTTGGGTGGCTTTAATGCTGGCCTCCGTCGGCAGAAGAGTGACAATGAGACTCTGGAGAGCACGGCTGCCACAGGCACCACAGAGAGGACCCTGCAGACTCGAGCTTCCTTACAAACCTGGATCTTTCTCATCTCCCCAGCCTTCCCAGTTTCTCTTCCCTTGGTTGGCCGTAAGCCAACAATTCATTTCAGCCATGGTATTCAGATAGGACTCTAGACACAGCCTCTAACTCCTGTGCTGGTGGACCTTAGACACAGCCACACTGATGTCTTACCCTGGCATTTGGTGCCCCCCTCAGCGCTGACAAAACCGGGTGCACAGAGGCAAAAGAAGGACCCCTGGCTGTTGAGGCACTCGCCATGAGGAGCGCAATGCTCCTCCCCAGAACACTCGTCCATATCTGCAGAGGTAAGATGAGATGGGGGTGACTCCAAGGTGCCCTCACCTCTGCAGATCCTCACTGTCCTCAGTTCCCAACGGGGAGACTTGGGGTGCTCACCTTCACACATGGTGCCATTGACCAGTTGGAAGCCCTGGGGACAGAGGCATTGGTAGGAACCTTCCGTGTTCTTGCACTGGCCTCCCAGGCAGCTGTTCTGGGGACCTTCACACTCATCAACATCTGTAGGGTCACACAGGGAGGAGGCAGCTGATGGTGGCACCTTCCAAGGACAGGTTCCAAGGGAAACATCTCTAGAGGCCCTATCACCTGCCTGAGGGGACAGAACCTGCTATGTTTATCTCCATTCTCCCAGGTACCTGGGAGAAGCTAAGGAGAGAGGAGCCATGGGGAGAAAGATAGCAGCAGATCTTCCAATTTGGCCCAGATCTGGCTGGGCTCCTTCATGCCCCATAGTCCTGGCCTAGGGAAACCAAAGCCTCCCTCCTCTGTCTTGGCTGAGAAGCAATGGGCAAGAAACCAAGGAAACAGATGCAGGGAACCCGAGAAGGTAACAGAAACTCCCTTCTGCTTGTGCGTGAATTTGGTTTGAAATAGGATCTCATGTAGCTAACTCTGGCCTTGCCTCTCACTTGCTAGATAGCCAAAGATGAACTTGAACTCCCGGCTCTCCTCTTTCTGCCTCCTGAGCGCTAGAATTGTAAGCCCCGGTCATCACACCTGACCCGCCCTCCACCAACCCAACCCCTCTCTCCCTCTGTTGCTTTGCTGTTCTTAGACTTTTCATCTTCCTGATGAGGTTTCCCAAGTGTTGGGATTATAGGCATTATTAACACTATTACAAAGCACCAATGGCCACTCTAGAGCAGTGCTTCTCACCCTTCCTAATGCTGTGACCCTTTAATACAGTTCCCACAGTGTGCTGACCCCCAACCTTAAAATTATTTTCGTTGCCACTTCATAACCATAATTTTGCTACTGTTATGAATCTGTGCTTTCTGCCATTCTTAGGTGACCCTTGTGAAAGGGTCATTTGACCCCCAAGCTGAGTACCACTGCTCTAGAGTCTTGTCATAACAGAGTCTCAAGAGTCTAGGCCAAGGCCCAAGAAATGCCATGTGCCTCTTGTCCCTTGGTGCTGCTGAGACCCCGCAGCCCATGCACCAGTGCCTTCATGGTGGTGACACCCAGGTATCTAGCCACTTTCCTGACTGCTTTTGGGGAGCGGATAGGAATACGAGTCCTCAGCCCCCTATCCTAGGTTTAATGGGGAGCTCTTGTTCCTTTTCATACAGGCTAGGTTGGTCTACTGTGTTCCATCTGTGCTCCCCTCCGGGGGAGGGTCTCTTACCTTCACAGGTGTTGCCCAGGGCACTGGGCCGGTAGCCCTGCTCACAGTCTCTGCAGGAAAAGGAGCCCACAGTGTTGGTGCAGACTCCTGTGGGGCAGACTCCGGGGAAGGCACATTCGTCCAGGTCTAGGCAGACAGACAACCGTGGCCGGGGAACCAGGAGCACAGTCCTACCATAGCTTCCCCTCACAACACCTCTTGCCTATCTCTGGGTTTAAAGAACACTCTGAACCTCTAGACAAGGGCAAACCGTGGCCATATTCTATAATACACGCCCCCACTTCCTTCCTAGAAAGCTCCATGGGTAGCCCAACCCCCACCTTATCTCTTTTGAGACAAGGGGTATAGCTCAAGCTGCCCATAAGCTCACTACGTAGCTAAGGCTGGCCTTGAACTCCTGATCCTTTTGTTTCCACCCAAGGGCTGGGATCATAGGCATGCACTATTGTACATCACTTTAGACTCCCTCCTGTCTCTGGGACCATTTGTCTCCTCTCTGAATTTGGAAGTTATAGCAATAGAAGCTCTCTCGGGGCCAAGTCTCCCAGAATTCTCTCTAACCAAACCTGCAGGACTAACCCCCAGGACCAGCCTGAGGCTGGAGGACAAAGATGTTCTTTATATTCTGTCAATTCTGTCACTGTCTGACTTGTGTTACCTTCACAGGCAGTGCCGGCTTCGTTCACCCAGTACCCACTCTGACAGACTGAACAGGTATAAGAGCCTTCGGTGTTGAGGCAGAGGCCCGTGGGGCATGAGGCTCGGCTGACACATTCATCCACATCTGAAACAGGCCATTGAGTTCTGTAGGGGATTCTGCAGAGCAGACACGCCAGAGACTCATAGGTGGGCAGGGTTAAAGGGTCAGGTTGTGGCAACGGCAGGAGAGGCCTCGGGCCTGGAGGGCTAGTTCAGGGGTGGCTTCAGGGGCTGGCAGCCAGAGGGGAAGATGTTGTGGGTTCGATTTGTCTGTGTAAGAATTGATGCCACATCTTTGTACCTTGGCAGCCCTTCTTGTCCGGGGTGACCTCATAGCCCGGCTCACAGGAGCATCTAAAGGAGCCTTCCACATTGATACAACTTCCATGGACACAGATCCCAGGGGTCAGACACTCGTTCACATCTGTGGATAAAGTCCAAGATGGGGCACTGCCTCCTCTCTTCCTTGCCTGCCGCTCTAGCAAGCCTAGATCATCTCAAGTGTGAGTCCATGGAAACAGCCTTCAGAGGGAATGCAGGCCAGCCTTGGGAAACTGCACAGCCCTGCCCCTTTATTTCACCTAGGCAGAGCAGGGTCATACCCTCCTTAGTGCTCCTCAGCCCCCCTTAGTCATATAGAACACCCCGCTTTGCCCTGGAAAACGAAGCCACCTAGAACGCTAGCAATAAGGCATCCAAGACCCTTGATTTACTCCCTTGTGGGTCTGGTCCTCATTAGTCTCTCACCTGCCACCAAAAAACCCCAATGTTTTACACCCAACAAACAGTTTCAGTACATGGGTGGGCAGTGTGGAGAGAAGCCAAGCCATGCCTGGGAGGCTGTGGCTGTCCTGAGGGCCTGGGAACTGTCTGCCCTCTCATGAGCTTCAAAGCGCCTATTCAAAGCATGGCCCCTCCTGGCATCAGAGCCTTGGGCCTTGTTCCCTGCGGGGGCTGAGGGGAAAGAGCGCTCCTGTTTGGGAACAAGAAGCACCACTGCTATTCAGGGGCCTTTTGTAGATCTTCAGTGTAGGAAAGCAGAGGGCCTGGTGGCTCCTGTCACCACTCAGCTTCTCACCCCAGTCCACAGAAGCTTCTGGAACTTTGGGATAGAGCTTTAGAACGGATGTGGCTAAGCCCCAGCAGAAGGGCCCACCCTAGCTGATTCAGAGGGCAGAGTTCCATAACCAAAGCACACCCACGCCATGCTCAGTGTTGTCTGAGAACCCAACCGGATGATGGGGGACAATGGCCTCTAAGCCACTGCTGTCTGCACCTCTTCCCCTCCCTGTATGTGGGCTCAACCAGCCATCTCAGGGCAAAATAGCCCCCTCAGTGCCTTGGCAATCAGCCCTTACCTACACAGCTCCCGCTCTGGCCTATGTAGCCCTCCTCACAGGCTAGACACGTGTAGGAGCCAGGAGAGTTGATGCATCTCCCATCAGGGCAGGTACCAGGGTGACGGCATTCATCGATATCTAGAAAACAAGAGCCCCTCCCTTGGTCATCTCCGAGAACCACAACCCATGGGTATTTCATGTCTGCAATTCTTTGGCCCTGCCCTGTATGGGGAAATGGATGTCAATTTCCATATCTGAACACCAGGAAAAAATGAGTTTCCCTGTGTTCCCAATCCACCTCCCACACACAGTCCTAGAGCAAAGATAAACGAAAGGACTTAAAAACGGAAAGACGGCCCAGGTCGCTGCACTAGGCTGTGGGTCCTGTGAGCTGTAGGAAGTCAGAGAACTGCATGTTTCAGACAGGATCGTTTGGGACGGTCCCTCATATCACCCTTGGTGGCATCAGGCAAGGTAGGAAGATTGCATTGGCCAAGAGGAAAGGACCCTGAGTCTGCCCTACCTGCCGTGTGTCAGGTACATTTGTGGGAAGTGTGTATAGCCCTGGATGTCGGGCATTTAGGAGATGTGAAACTCACTCATCTTCAAAAAATAGCTTACATCTTCATTTTCGGGTCATGGTATGTGTTTGTTTTAGGGTTCCTTGTGGTTGGATGACATCAAAAGATTAGTGATAGCCAATGAGGTATGCATGGATATGACGCAGGTAACTTGGGAACCAAAGCATTTCATCGCACGGAAACCTTGAGTGTCTTCTTCCTTTCCTGGGGACTGGGCGCAGTCCAGACGTTGGCTATTCCTTTTGTCTAGTACCAGAGTAAGGAAGCCTGGGTCAGAGTTCTCAATTGATTCTTGATGGACACAAGACACTGGTGAGATATAAGATTGACTGTGTGCTCTATAGCTGATTTGGGGGTTGGTTGTTAGTGAGACAGAACCTAACGCGAGCCAAAATGCTCCGCCCACCTTTCTTCTTAGAGCAGAGCCCCCGGGGAATAACAGTGATGTTAATATGAGAGAAGTCTGTCAGGGAGGGAAAGAGAGAGGTCAGAAGACCACAACAGTACTTAGTCTCCCCCCTCCCCGGAGCCAGGGAAGCCTCTCTTGAATGGGAAGTGGCTAGACTTACGCCATTAGATAAGCTCATCAAAGGAGGCCGAGGAAAATTCTGGATGGAGTGGACTCCATCCCCAGACAACCTGAGGCTATTCATGGAACTCATGGTAGCTAAAGTGGGGCTTGTCACTGGGTAGAGATCCTTCTGCCTAGTCAAGGGTTTGAACTTTAACCTAAAGTTATGGAATGCCTTGGTAGATTCCAATATTCTGGTTTGTTTTGGGGAACTAGTTATAGATGTATTCCCAGCCCACGGCTAACACACAGCTGGCACCCAATATGTGTTTGCAGACCAGAAGAAGAAACAAGGTGCCTAAAATAACACACATTATCCTCCTAGTGTAAGGCAGCTGAAGAGATTGCTAGAGGGGTCCAAGGAAAGGTCGCACAGGACTAACCTGTGAGTGTACCACCCGTACTCTGGGAGGATACCCTGGCATCTTTCCAGGGACCAGTCTCTGTGTGGGGAACTGTGAGGCGACCCGCCTGTGTTCCTGGTGAGAGTACGAAGTGGGAGAGAGGGGCAGGAGCCAGAGTTCAGGGGACCTTGGGTGAGAGTGGGGGACAGCCAAGGCCCCGACAGTATAAAGGAGAATCTGCTCTCTGTCCCTGGGAACCCAGAGTCTTGGGTATAATGGAAATGTCATTGAGACTGTTGCATGGGCCACTGTCCAAAGCCCACAGTCTCTCAGCAGAGACCTCGGGTTTCCGTGGAGAGAGTCGTTCCTTCGTTGGAGACAGAAGAAAGGGAGGAGAAGAAATTGCCTGGGCTCCCGGGGTGATGGGCAGGGTCTGTGGTTACTGATGGAAACCCGAAGAAGCGAACAAGCTACATCATTCTTTCAACAGCCCCAGAGTGTCTGCCCAGGGCCAAGAACTCAGCCTGACCTCCCAGATGAGGTGTCTGTCTAGAAGCTTTCCTCCTGATGGGTCAGAGCCATCCAGAGTAGAATGTGGATGTGGGGGAGTTGGGACATGAGAGAGAGGGGGCCTCACAGTGTGCTTGAGGTGGCTCTGCGCAGCTTGTATATGGGAGCTGATCAGTCCTCTGAGAGGAGTGTGGCAATTTCCATTTCCAAATATGAAACATTAATACAGTCCAGACCTGTCTGCTCTGGAGCCTGCGCCCTTAATGCAGATGGTTAGTATAAACCTGATCTTTTCAGTGTTCTGGCATTCCCTGGTTCATTTCCTTTTCTTTTTTGTAAGTCCTGAGGTTAAATGCGTAGTGCTGTGATGCCTAATGAGGATCTCTTACAAGCGCTTAGCGCGACCAGCTGGCACTTAGCAGGGTACGTATCAAGAGCTGTGTTTATTCTGCCAGGCTGTCTTGTTTCTATGGATCTAATCAGGACAAGGGGATGGGGTTCCAGCTTGGATCATGCCTAGGCTTGAGTTTTAGGTGGAGGGACACTAAGAGGGGATCCCTGAGAGAAGGTGATCCCTGGGGTGAAGACAGTTTGTTCTATACCTGTAACTGTTTCCCCTCTGCTTAGATCTCCTGGGGCGTTGCTTTTCTGGCAGTGGACTGGGGAAAGGTCTCCCCTTCACAAGGTCCACGAGCTCACACTCTACTTCCAGGACTCTCTGGAACCAGGTAGGACAGAGTAGACGTTATCCTGTCTTACCTGGTTCCAGATAGGTTAGTGGCAGGTCCAAACCTGTCTACAAAGAGACGGGTTAGCAATGTCCTAGCCCATCTTTTATCTGCCTGTGGGGAAGGAGAGATCTATTTGTTCATTCATTCATTCATCAACCAGCATTTGCTGGGTGCCCATGCACATGCTAACTAGAGACATGGTCTGCCCGTTGGGAGTTTATGTATTAACATACGTCAGCAAGAAGACTAAAGGTGCCAGAGAGATCAGCTCTTCTTCTGCTATAAACAGAGAGAACAGATTTTCCAAGGTGATGGGGACAAGTATGTGCAAAGATGCTCATTCCTGTGGTGTCACATAGATTTGTATTTCCCTGCTACAGGGAAATACAGGGAAGACAGGATGCCGATGTACCACCCCAAAGACAGGAGGGCTCAGGGATTCATAGACATGTTTCTGCCAGTGGGAACTGGCTTAGTGACAAGGGACTCAGTGGAGGACAGCTAGAAGGGAGCTGGTGGAGTGTAGTGTGGGGGGCAGCAGGCCGGTCCATCATCCTCACTCCTTACCTTGGCAATGTCCTTTCCTGACCATGGCGTAACCCCGATCGCATTCACAGTGGTACGAGCCCTCAGTGTTGCTGCATCGTCCATTGTTGCACACCCCGGGCTGCTCACACTCATCTATATCTGCAAACACACAGGGTGGTCCTGAGTCAAAGCCAGCCCTGGAGGGGGGTCCTGAGGCATCCTTCCCAGAGGCCGTGAACAAGGCTGCTAGCTAAGGGAGGCACTCTTGCTGCAGTAGGATTGTTTGAAGGGATTCTTAGGTTAGCGCTGAGACTGCGGTCCCTTGAGTTCTTGTCTTCCAGGGCCCATGGGAGCCCTTTTTTCCTCCTGGTGAAAGGCCTGGGCTTGAGGTCAGGTATCAATCTGTATAGTGTGAGCCAAGGGGGCCAACAAAGTTCTCCCTGCCCCAGCGTTAGTACAGTAGACACGGAGTCTACCACTAGGATGCTCCTCAAGGATGGACCTTCTCAGGACAGAGAGCGCTGCATGCAGTCGAGGGTCTGTAAGGTGCACTGACGCCCCCCCTCTGAGACTCTCTACTGCCGACAGAGGAGAAAAGGAAGAATCTCATAGGCAGAGCTAAAGGTGGAAACCTGATGGGGAAACCTGATTGACCCTAAAGCCCAAACTTGGTCAGGCCACTCCCTTGATGCATTTCCCCAGCTCCTTGCTACTCCAGTCCTACTTGCAGTTTGGCTCCCAAACCTGGCCCCAGTCCTGCTGTATTCGCTCATTTGCCTGCCCTCGCTGGTATAATCCTAGCTACGGCAGATTCCCACGAGTTCAGCCTCCAAATCTCTGTTCACACACATGCCTCTGCTGGGAGTGTCTTTCCCCTCCTGGTGACCAGCAGATTCCTATTCCCATCTCAGACAGTGGCTCAGTGTACCAGCTCTGTCCTGTGACCACTCCCTGGCTCATCTTTGCCCCCTTAGGGGAGTGGATGGCTGGCAGTAAACATGGAGGAACGCTTGCTGGCTTTGATCAGGCATAAACCCAGTGTGCTTCCACCACAGGCATCCTTCCTATCACTCCAGTTCACAGTGAAGCCTCCAACAGAGCCATCGCACGCACCCCTCCCAGTCCCCATGGAGATCCTGGCCTTCAGTATAGGGCAGACCCAAGAACCTTCCTGGCAACAACTCTCCAGGGAATTCAGAAACAGCTGTCTGAACTCTCGGAAGCTCTACTGCCAACGCAAAAGGAAAGGGAAGGCTCTTGAAGACAGAGTGAACAGTGGAAACCTGACGGGAAAAACCGGGTGAAGCCAGAACCACTCTCTAATAAACAGATGGTGTTGGGAAAGCTGGTTGTAGAGAAAAATGAAGTGGAGAAGGGGGTTCCTAAGAGCCATGCAAAGACGAACCCCAGTTGGAGAAAACATCCTGGAAAGGGTAAATAAAGTGCACAATGTCTGTGTGACACAACAAAACCACCACACATTAAAAATAACGCAAAAAGGGGCCAGCCATGGCTAAGTGGGCAAGAGTTTGTCACCCAAACCTGGTAACCTGAGTTCAACCCCCAGAACCCACAGAAAGATGGAGGAGAGAACCAACTCCTCAAAGCTGTCCTCTGACCTCCACACACCTAAAACAAATAAGATGTAGCAGAGTACACAAAGTCTACCCAAAAAGTTATGAGAAAAAGCAACAACCACACTTGGAAAACAAGCAAAAGACGGGATCACAGATCCTGTTTACAGTCGGATGAGGAAAGCCGCTCACAAATGAGGAAATCCAAAGGCCAGAGTGCAGAGATACACTTATTCCAAGGCAGCTTATATGCAAGCTCTTAAATAAATCCTTAATGTTTAAATAATTTACATTTATTTCTATTTAAGTGACCATAAAACTTGTAATGGTTTAGAATGATTAATTTCTACATACGAATCAATGCTAGATTAAAATAACGAAACAGTGTTTTGTGAGACTGGCAAAATTTAGTAAGTAGATGCTAAATTGGATTAGGGCCTTCAAAGTGTCAGCCAAGCCCCAACAGTGGAAGCTCTTCAGCTGGCCTCAGGTTCCTCCCGTTCCTACAGCTGTCAGGGCTGGCAGAGACATCTAGACACCAGACTGGCACAGGACAGAGCCTCTTGTCTGGGTCAGTCCTTGCAATACTAATCCCCGTAGCCATCACTTGCCTATGGCCAGCTCCCAGACTGGACCTTCAGAGAGCAAGGCCCCTCACCACAGGACCCACCCAGGCTGCTTGAAGCTTGGAAATCCCCTGTCCCCTGCCTTTCCCCTGGCTCTGCACACTGCCATATGCGTCACTCCTTCCTAACAGCCAGACGACAGAGCCATCTACCCTTAACAAACCCTCCTGGCAGCCACTGCCCACAGGACAATGGCCAAGAACTTCAGCTTGGCCCCAGAGTCACAGCACAGATTGGCCTCACCCCTGCCGCTTCTGCTAACAAGCCCACACTCCACTCACCCTGACTTCATCCTAATTCCCAGGGCATGCCAGGCCTGCCCGCATGCTCGCCTGTGCAGAAACAGCTGACTTTCGCGGGACTAGTGACCCCGTCCACTCCTGCTACTGCTCCTCGGGTCCCTGGTACTGCACATATAAAGGAGGGGATCATGGGAAGCAAATCACGCTTTGGAGACGGCGTGATTTTGAATCTATGTCCAGTGCTGCTATAACAAGGTGCAGTGTCCGTGGGTGTTTCAGCTCACTTCTCAGTGCTCCCTCTGCTAAAGCATGAAGCGCGGAACTGAGGACTGCAAGGGTTGGAATGACGGGCTTTATATATAAAGTGCTCAGGGTGGCTCTGGGTATACAGGCTTGTTAATGGGACCTGTTATTACTCTACCCCAGTTCAAGGACCCCCTCAGGGAAACCTTCCCAGATTCTCTGTTCTAGTCAGTCGCTTGCTCATCTAACTTGATAACACCATTATTCCTGCTCATGCATTTGGCTGTCTTCAGACCTTCAGCCCAGGGCCTGGTACCTGGCCCCTTAGAGCCGGAGGCCTCGCTGTGCACTCGCTGACCTGGCTTCCTCATGCTCCTGTTAAGTGGGGCTTCTCTGCCTCCTTTCCTCACATAATGAAGTGAGAGGACTTGGATGGTTTTGGATTCTGAGGGCCAGATCCTTGGACTCAGATGCCGAGGAGACTCTGCCAATGGAAGGATTCGTTACGCCGGGGAACAAATGATCACCGCCAAGGCCCCGACTAGTGCCAGAAATGTGAGCCCCCAGAACAGGTAGGGCCGTTCTCAAGATGCAAGTTTCCCAATTACTTCTGGGTCTCCAGGCACTGTGTGGAAGAGACTCACTTATTTCTTTGTGAACTTATTCATTTAAAAATATACAGGAGAGTTCTATGTTATAAAAGGGTTTGCACGGGGTGCTGGCTTGTTTTATGTCAACCTAACACAAGCTAGAGTCATCAGAGAGGAGGGAGCCGTAGTTGAGGAAATGCCTCCATAAGATCAGACTATAGGCATTTTTTTTCTTTTTTTAATATTTATTTATCTATTATGTATACAATATTCTGTCTGTGTGTATGCCTGCAGGCCAGAAGAGGGCACCAGACCTCATTACAGATGTGGTTGCTGGGAATTGAACTCAGGACCTTTGGAAGAGCAGGCAATGCTCTTAACATCTGAGCCATCTCTCCAGCCCCCTATAGGCCGATTGATGTAGGAGCACACAGCCCATCATAGCTGGGACCGCCGTGGACTGCTGGTTCTGGGTTCTCTAAGAAACGTAACTGTACAAGCCCTGAGAAAGCCAGTGAGAAACCCTCCTTGGCCTCCGCATTATCTCCTGCCTCCGGGTTCCTGCCCTGTGTGAGTTCCTGCCTTGGCTTCCCTCAATGACCTGTGATTCAGGTTATGGAAACCAAATAAACATTTCCCTCCCCAAGTTGCTTTTGGTCATGGTGTCACAGCAATGGTAGCCATAACTAAGACATACAGGAAGCCTGCTTACCAAGAGTTGCCTAACTGTGGCCAGGCCTTCTTGGAAGAAGGTCAAAAGCTATCCCCACTGCTGGGGGCCAGAATTCTTCTCCCAAATGTACAAATGTCCCCTGGTCTGCTGAGAGTTCAGGCTCCTATCCTCATGGGTCACCCTCACTCCCCAAAAGAAAAGTTCCCTTGTCACTTGAGTCCTGGCTTTTGGTCCCCATCACCAGCCAAGTCTCTGGCCTCCTCTTGGTTCTAACCACACAGTTCCTTGAGGTCTTTGCAAACATCGCCATTTTCTGGGTTCCTTTTCTCCCCTGTGATCCCAGCATAAGCTCAGCTTCCTCTCAGATCAAGGTCAGAGTGCTGTCTCCTTTCCCACGGCTCTGGTCCTCCCCAGAGGTCAGACAGTGGTAAAACTCCGCATGCCTGCCTCTTCTTCTACCCCCACTGCAGGGCCTAGGCAAGAGGTGTTCTCCTGTGCCCATATCCCAGTCCTAAGGTGGGTCCGACTTACCTTGGCACTCCTGCGTGTCTCCCAGGGTGGCTAGTGAGTAGCCCGGATAGCAGAGGCAGGAGAAGGAGCCCACACTGTTGACACAGCGCCCTCTTCCTGCACAGGGGTTCCTCAAACACTCGTTGTCATCTGACAAGAAGGAGGCAGGGAAGAAGGTCATGGAGGCCAGTGTGCCTTTCTCTGGGCATCTGCCAGCAACTTGCCCACACTAGAGGATGGTGCTACGTGACATGGAAGGGGTGAGGAAGCAGAGGATGCAGAGGAGGAGATGAAAGTCTCCGAGGACAAAGCCACAGGTCAGCCTGCAGGGGCCTCTTAGGCCCTAGGAATCCTTGGGTGACGATCAGTGTCTCCTCCCTGCCCATTGTCCCCTCCCTTCAGTGAGCCCACAATCATTTCCTTTCTCCTTCAAGCCCATAGCAAATGTTTCTCCTTTACACAAAGTACTGATCGGGGGAATGGCACATCTGATGATTTTTCTTGGCTTCAACATGTCCCCAAAGGGCAGCCCTGGTGAGGCCTTATCTGCTTTGTAGGCAGAAACATGGACACTTTGAGGTTGGGGAATGCTAGTTCTGCCTTGGGACCTCTGGCTTGGGACCCTTTCTCCTAGAGTCTGGTGGCCCTCACATAGCCTAACTTAAGGTCTAGTTAGATGTATCCACAGGCACTGTTCTCCTAAGCTCATCAATCATCGCACCTCACTTAGATCTTACACAGCCTGACTTCTTGACTCAGAGCCCACACCCTATTCCTATTTGCCCCCACTACTCGGCAGCCACAGGACACCCTGTAAATACCGGTGCAGTAGGCTTGGCTGGGGTGGAGTCGGTAGCCAGGGTTGCAGAGACATCTGTATCCATCGGGAAGGGTCACACAGGTTCCAGGGCCACAGATGTTGGAGGCCCCAGCAAAACATGGATCAAAGCCTGCCGAGATGGAGCAAGCAGAGATAACGGCTGAATGAAGGATGCATGAAGGCACTCGAGCAGGGTGGGAAGAGAGCAAAGGCAGATCCAGGGACTTCAGAAGATCACTAGAAGCCTACCTACCTTTAGCATACCCTCTCACACCACTGTATAACATGGTCTCGGAAGACTAATGGAACCTGTGCCTGGGCTCTGAGTCACTTGACAGATACCTAATGGCTTCTGGTAACCCATATTCCCTACAAATGACTCTCACCCTCATCGCAAATGTGGGCATAGCTCTTACCCAAAGAACCAATGCTACCCACCCCCAGAAACTCTATCTTCGCATAGACTGACAGACAGGTTTAGTGAATAGGTTACAGAGGCCGAAGAAACTAGCTTATTTTTTCTTGAATCTCTAATATTAGAGAAGTACCTGACACTTATGATGAATGAATGAATGAAAAATGAACCAATAAACCAATAAGCGAGCACTGCTTTCACCTGTGTCCACCCTGTTGTCTCATCCTATAGCCCACAAACCTAGGGGTCCCTTCCCTGCCCCACCACTCTGGGAGGAGCCAGAAGCCTCACCAGAGTGGGTAAGAAGTGGTCCAAGTTGGAACACAGAGGGGCTTCATGGCATTGCTAATGTGCACTGAATTGAATGCCTACAGTAGCCTGTGGCACAAGGTCATCTTCTCTCTAGCTTGGTCCCAAGTTTGTATTAGCTGTCCCCAGCCAGAATCCAAATGTCCACTCAGAAGGTGAGGCTGAAAGACAGCAGGGCAGCAGCTGGATCAGACACAATATTGAAACTGCTGCTGGTGGCTCTGCCACCCGCATGGATGAGGGCAGCCGCTGGGCCCAGCTTGGCTTCCCTGTGCCATGGTCTTTTCTCCAGGAGTATTTCAGTTGTCAGTCTCAGTACTCCCCAGTGGAGCCCCACACACTCAGCCCTTCCTGCCTCCTTGGGAGGAGATGCTTCCTGGAGTCCCAGGAGACTTCCTCTGAATCCTGGGAGAGGAAAGCCAAGCCCCCATCCCACCTGCGACTTTCTCTGTACCAGGCTGCAGGCATTCTTTCAATGCAGGAAATCCAAAACTCGGGCCACCCTCGACTCCTACTCACGGTGACCCTCTAGCTAAGAGCACAGCTAGTCCCTAGGGAGGGCAGGCAAGAGGGCACACGTGTGTAGAGAACACAGGACACTACTACAATGGTAACTTTGTAACTTCTACCCTACACTACTACAATGGTAATCTTGTAACTTCTATACCACACTACTACAATGGTAACCTTGTAACTTCTACACTACACTACTACAATGGTAACCTTGCTTCTCTTGAACGAAGTCCTCAGACAAAAAGCCTCTGTGAAAGGTACATTCCATAGCCAGGTTGGATTGCCTGGAACCTCCCTCACACCACCCCTCATCACTATGGTAGACTATAGCGAGCCACATACGGATTCTGGACACTTGAACAACCCTGTGCAATATAACTCTGTCCCTTCTCCAAAACCTTCCATGGGCAGGTGATGGCCACTGCCAGGGCCCTCACTGAGTCAGCCCCCTCTCACCTTGCCTCCTACTCTATGAGTTCCTATTCTTCAAGAGGCCCCCACCCCCACACTCCAGGAAGATCCATGGCTTCCCTAAAGCCCTCTGAGTAGGACCATCCCTCCAAAGAGCGTTAGTGCCCAAGCTCGGCTCCTGTCTTTTCTAGGTAGGCTTTGTGTCCTTTAGAGGATCAGATCTGGACCACTAGGTCAGAGTTGCTGGAGAGTATTCATGTGATTGAAGAAGCAAGAGAGAGAAGCTCCGTTCACGGCCTTGCCCTGGAGTTTGCTTCTGGGAAACCACATCTCCCAAAGGTGGGGGCAAAGAGCCTTCAAGAACTTCTGCAGCTACCTGGTGGACTCTGTGTCGCCAGGACTTTCTCTTCCTCTGGGTTTTCTGGAATGCCCTGTCCAGGCAATGGTGGTGTTGGTCTTCCAGTGGCATCCCCTGGAGAGGACAGAGGGGAGGAAGTAGGGTCCTTGGGCTAGCAGTGGCCCTTCTGTGTTCTCTGATGTTCAGAATCCCAAGAACCAAAAGTGGCACCTAGGGCTCCCACCATCTTTTGGTTTATCTGGTCTTCTCCCCTTGTAGTAAAGCCAGGGACTGTAGAAATGGCTGCTTGTCTAAGGCCAGCCAGCTTGCTGGAGAAAGAACTGCCGCCCACCTCCCAATGCCCAGTTTAACATTCTGCTTTCACTTGTAATGCATCTTGCAGCTCACAAACGGTGCTGCAAGCACAAGCACCCAGTAGCCATGGGAGGCAGCAGGTGTCATGTCCACATCACGGCAGGGAAAACTCAACATCCTTGACTCTGAGCCCAGCTCTGGGAAGAGGTCAGCTCAGGGTTAAGAGGTAAGATGAGGCCACTGGAAAAGGGGGTTCTGGAGCCCAATCAAGCTGCTCCTTCAGCTAGCACCTCCTCTTTGACCAGATTGTCTTATGTGCTGAGTGGCGTCATGAGATTAAGAAAGGAGTTTGGTAGGTAGGAAAACATTTGCAAAGCATCATGGGATCACTTGCTAACTGGACAGTCCCTTAGGGACTCAGTGTTCCTGGAAAGGGTGCTCACATGCCGTATCACATGCCACCTCTGATTGGAACCCCACGGATTAGTTCACAGGTACTCATTCCATAACTAAAACGAGGTTTCTTCTTCTGGGAGCTTGTCGGAGGAGGCACTCACCTGGTCCCCAGGCAGGTAGGTGGGGAACACTGGTTGTGATCTGCACAGAAATGAACATTATTTGGGAGGGGCTCATCTGTTACTCCTGGGACACATTTCTTTCTCCTCTTACCCCCCTTCCTGTTCAGCTCTCTCTGGTAGTGGGTTTTTACCGCCGGCATGTATTCTCTAGGCATGTTCTATCCTTTACTGACCAGCTCCGCTTCCTTCTAAGTTGTCGCAGTTAAATGTGTGCCCGCTACCAGCTCAGTGTTGGATGCACAGCAGATTAGCACCTATCAAAGCTGCGACATTCATGTCATAGATGAAGTAACAGAAAGTAATGAGACCATCCAGGGCCACAAGGCCTTTGTGGTAAAGCCAGGAGTCACAGCCATACTCGGTGTCCCTAACCACATGGACAAAGACAGCTGGGGACAGGGAAGCAAAGAAGACCAGCAGAGGACAGAAAGGCACTGGGGCATTGTCGGGACTACAAGGACATGGAGGGAAAGTTTTGACCTGAGAGGACAGCACGTGGCTGTTTTGTTTTGTTTTGTTTTTAGACAGGGTTTCTCTGTGTAGCCCTGGATGTCCTGGAATTCCACGTGTAGCCCAGGCTGGCCTCTGCCTCCCAAGTGCTGGGGTTAAAAGTGTGCGCCACCCTGCCTGGCTTCAGCACATGGTTTTTAAGCTGGAAATCAAGGCCGCTGAAGAAGCGGTACATGGAGACAGGTTAGCTCATCGCCATCAGGAGATGAGCAGGAACCAGCAGACTGGTCAAGGCCTGGAGGAGGAGAAGGCAGATTCACTCCTCTGGAGGAGATGCTCAGAGATGCTCAGCCCTGGCTGCAAAGGGGATCTGGACCTAGGGAAGGAAGCCAGATGCCCTTTCCTCAGTGAAATGGTTGGAGGTATTCATAGCCATGCTTCTGCTTTCCCATGAGCTCCCCACAGAGGGTATGTGTTAAAAAAGCTCAGAAAACATGTCAGATTCAGGACCAGTTCTAGGCTTCATGCACAGCGATCAAGCTTGAATGGCAGCCAGGACTAAGTACACAGTCACATGGGTCCTTGACTCCACTTTGTGATTTCTCCAAGTAAAATCCGGTATATGCTCCATCCTTTCTTTCTGCCCTCCCGAGACTATGCCTGGGGTCTATGTCATTCTCTGTCTCACCCTAATCAGGCTCCCTGGCAGGAAGCCTCACTCACCTGGATAGCCTGAGAGTCACCTGGGGAAGGAAGATGACATCATGAGCTCCAGGAGGGGAGGCAGTGACCTTCTGCTCTTCGCTCCCAGCCTGGCTGCCTCACAGTCTACACAGCCCTGCATTCCCAGCAAGACGAGCGACACACAGAGTGCAACCCTTTTTAGTCACCTCAGCCTGTCAGCTCCCTTTAGGGACCCACCACCCCAGAAATCCAAAGCTCTAACTGGGCATACAGGTCGCCCAGTTAACCTGTCAGTTGGAGAAAGGAAGTCTTCTGCATTCCTTCCAAGTCTCCAGGGACAGAAGTTCCCATCAGCCAGCCTCATTAGACCCACAACAGATCTCCTCTCTCCTGTGGTTCTGATCAAATGGGTTACTCTCCTTCCTCCCTGCTCTGGGCCGTTGACGAAGGGAGGACTTCCAGGAAGGAAATGCATTGCCTCTGACTGGGCTAGTGCCCGCATCTATGGCCACTGAGTCCTGTCCTTGCTTCTCTGTCCCCGATTCTTGGAGTAATTCTGGCAATCTCCTGGTTTACTTGGTCCTAACAGCTTCCAGGCCTCCTGTACTGGGTGACTTGGGCATGACCCGGCTGTTTTCCAGAGCACCAGCTGAGAACGCAAGCGTAAGCTCTTCCTGGCCCACACGTCCTGAGCCCCAGGAAACGGTGCTGAAGTTACCGTCCTAAACCTAAGACCTGGGCAGGGAACTATACGGAAAAGGAGGTCCTTAGGTGCCTCCCCCAGCTCAGATACCTTTGTCAGGGAGGGTTTCAGCCTCAATCCAGGTGTCGGTGACTGCCCGGAGTGGTTGCCTCTCGGCTGCTCCAGGTAGAGGTCCACTGACTCTCTGGATCTGTTCCCTGAAGGGGCTAGCCAGTTCCTCCTCCTCCGCTTTCCTCATGGACAGGCGGATGTCTGAGCTTGAGTAGGTGTAACCATGGCCGGCAGGGCAGATCTCCCTGAAGGCCTCTAAAAAATGACAGAGGATGAACCAGGGCCTTAGTCCCCACCTTCCTTCCCTCTAGGGGACAAGACAGTTGTGTCTGCAGGTGGAGTCCCAGGTCTGGAACATGGAAGTGTAGACTGAGCCTTCTGACTTGGAGGGGAGATCTACCCAGGCTGGGGAAGTGGCCATTGGCTTTGAGCAGGTATCCTAGTGGCCAGAGTTGGGGGGAGGGTGGGGTTACCTGTGCCAGGCAAGGGGCACTTTTCACACTTGCTGCCCCAGGCTTTGCCCACACGACTGCAGCAGCAGATCTGCTTGGTGATCCGGTGTATCAAAGGCAGGGTACAGGTGCCAGCTCCCAGCGACCGGTAGCATAGTCCCTGTTGCATGGAGACAGCCTTGTCCGCTGCAACAGACAGAGCATGTGGGAACGGGCAGGGAGCCGGTGGGAGGAGAAAACACAGAAGGCAGCGGACAGAGGTGCGGTCAGTCATCAGCACTGAGACTAGCCTGGCTCATGTCCCACTCTGGAAGTTGGGATGCTCACGAGAGCCTTGGGAGGAAGGGCTGCAGTGGAATGCCCCCACATCTCCTCAGAGTGTCCACCTGATGAGGCCCTGCCACCCTCACGTGAGGGTGGGACCTGGGGACAGAGTTGTTTGCCTCCACCTGCTGCCCTTGAGTGTCTCAAGATGAGCAGGGAGCAATGTACCCTGAGGGACACAGCAAACCTCTCTGGGAAGATGAGACGAGGTGAGAACCGGAGGATTGCCAGAGAGCTTAGAGGACAGGGATCTTGTCTGGGTCATCCTTGTCACTTGGGGCCACCCACGTGTCTGGGGTATATGGTTGCTTAATAATGCATGTTGAATCAATGTATGCATGGCTCACTTAACTAAACAACTAGGACTGAACCCAGGTGTGTAGCTCAGTGGTGGAGCTCTTGCCGAGCATGGCTAAGCCCTACACATGCACACATAAACACAAGGCAAAAATAATTTTAAAACCACTGAAACCATAAATCCTTGGAGCTAAAAGCAAGTGAATATTAAAAAATAGTCTATTGCTTATTCTCTCAGTAGGAAAATGTATGACCAACAGGTTGGAAAGAGACTTAAATCTTCAGACCACAGACCAGACTGTCAGAGGACAGAGGGGTGACAAGAGCAGCAGCCACAGTTGAGAATTAAAGATTCTGAGGAGCCCTGGTCAGTTCGAATATCTGCTACCCGCTGGGCTACACAACGCCCCGGGCTGCAGCTTCTTTATGTGTGGAGTAATGATGCCAAGGGCTGTGGGCACTCAGGCTGACCCGGCATGTGTGTCGATGCTCCAAAATTGTGGCCCACCACCTTGGGCCACTTCCTGATTGTAAGACTGAGGTTCATATCTCTGGTCACAGTGATTGGGACAGGAAGAGGCACTTGAGAAAGTAAGCCCCCTACTGCTCAGCTTGGCAACTTTTCTTGGATTATTAGAAAACAGGTGACTGTGTTCAGACTGAGAGTCTAGGGTACATGGAAGCTAATGTGGGATGTCTCTCTGTATGCTGCAAATACATCTTTTTCTTTTTTCATTTTGGTTTTTTGAGACAGGGTTTCTCTGTGTAGCATTAGGGCTTGTCCTGGTACTAGTTCTGTAGACCAGGCTGGCCTTGAACTCACAGAGATCTGCCTGCCTCTGCCTCCCAAGAGCTGGGATTAAACGCATGCACCACCACCACCTGTCCTGTGAATATGTCTTATTACCATTGGTCAGTAATGAAGCTGACTTGGCCAATGCCCATGTAGAATAGAGCCAGGCAGAAAATCCAAACAGAGATACAGGGAGAAAAAGGGCAGAGTCAGGGAGATGCCAGCAGTTGCCTGAGAAGTAAAATGCTAGGTAACAAGCCACGAGACTCGTGGTGAAATGCAGAATACTAGAAATGGGTTAATTTAAGTTGTAAGAGCTAGATAATAATAAGCCTAAGCTAATAGGCCAAGCAGTATGTAATTACTATTAAGCCTCAAAATGGTTATTTGGGAACCAGTGGGCAGACCTCCAGTTACAGAGGACACCTCTGAAGGAGCTGGGAAACCAACCCAGGAAACAGCAAGGCAAAACTCCGGGGCATTGTGGGGAGTTGAATCCAACCAACAAGGTCACATTTGCCCCCTCTCACTTCCTAGTTGTGCTCATCCGTTAAGGTGGTGGGAGTTGGGTTTCTGTGACTACTGGCTGAAGAACCTTTCTTCACAGGGACACAGAGATGAAACACAGCAAGGCACACATGTACACCCTGGCAAAGGTCAGGTACCACATGCATATCCATCAGCTCCTGAGTCCCGCATCCTCAGGGGCAATCTCTGCCTTCAGTGGTCACTTCCCTTGGGTTACTGTGGGGACATGCTCTATCCCTTTGCATCCCAAGGTGGGATATAAGGAAGCCGGATCAGCCTCCAGAGATGGCTTTATGCCCCTGTCAGGTGACAGGAAGTCACCAGCTTGCCTTCTCCAATGAGGGTGGGAGGGCATAGTGAATGCTTGGAGGAAACTGGAGGGAGGAGCACTGCGAAGGAAGAGAAAATAAAGCCAGTGTTCCCCTGATTCTCCATATTGTTGTATTGGGGTGTCTTCCTGGCATTCAGACATGTTGGGTGTTAAGCACCTGATAAAGAAAGCTTTGTTTTGTTTTGTTTGTTGTTGGTGTTGTTTTGAGACAGGGTTTTGCTACGGAACCTTGGCCAGCCTGGATATTACTTCATAGACCAGGCTGACCCCTGCCTCTAGAATTCTAGGGTTAAGGCATGTACCACCATGCCCAGCTTGATAGAACTTTAAGGGACCTGGAAAAGGAAAGACTATAAGGTCCCTGGGGCCTTGATTAGCTATTATTGCACCACAAGCTGACTGACCTTCTCTCCCATCCTGGTTCTCTTTCTCTCAGGACTCCCCTGTCCCTAGAGACGTCAGGTCCAGCCACCCTTTCGACAAACCACTACCTCTGGGTGGCAGCAGAGGTTTGTTCCTCCTATGGGCTTCCCAGACCCCATAGCGGGCACTTTGCTGCCAGCCAGAGAGCCCTGTGAGCTAGAGGTGGCCTTTAGGGACAGCTTTTACTGTGCTCTGCTCAGGCCTTCCTTCCCAAGAAAAGCCCCATATGAGCTCTGGGCACGAGGCCATGAGGTCTTGGGAAATTTGCCACTCTGGGTCTGGACTGTCCCCCCGGAGGGTGTCTCTCGCCCTCAGCCCCACCGTCACTCACATACACAGCGGCTCCTCGATGGGTCCAGCATGAGGCCAGGCCTGCAGGTGCACAGGTAGCTGCCCCGGGTGTTCACGCACTCTGAGTCCTTGCACAGCCCCAAGGTCAGGCACTCATTGATGTCTGCAGGGGTGGAGAAACGCTCATTCAGCCGAAGCCGGGTGGTTGGGAGGGAGCTGCCATCCCCACAGACAGGGTGGGACCTCTCTGTGGGCCTTGATCTTCTCACTTGCCAAACATGGATTCTAACAGTAACCACCCGCCCACGCTGATAGAATAATTCAATGGGAAAACTGTGAGCGGCTTCACTAACTGGCACATAGTAGCCACCTTAGTTGGAAAGCTGACATTTGCGGAGCGACTACTGCATGCTTCAGACTCTTTTATATTTAAATGTGACACCCCATTTAACCTTATAGACTGTTTTGACTGGTTTTTATGTCCCAAGGTCTGGTCCCTCTGTGGGCTCAAATGCAGGCGATCTCTGCCTCAGTTGGCCCAAAGATACATCAGCGAGGCCATCAAGATGGGGGCAGGAGTAGGCTTCATGGTCCACCTACCCCTGCCGCCTGTGCCTCCCTACCACCTGGCTATGGGCTGAGGCAGCTGGAAAGGAGACCCAACCACCTAGCTATGCTCTGACGGAAGGAGCCCACAAAGGTCCCCACTAATTCATTGTGGTTTCCTGGTGGTGGAAATGTCCTGGGAAACTGAGAGTGTATGTGTAGGGTTTCTGGCTAGGGGTTAACCAGAAGTGGGTAAGGATGGGTGACCCCAGCACCCTGGATCTCTCAGCGCCCTCAAGTTAGACTTGATAGTCTAAGATCCCTAGGACCAGTCGCTTCCACAGTTCTCTGAACAATAGAGGCCTCCTAGGCAGTGGCAGATTCTCATCCTTCCTGGGGTGCATATTGCCCCAGCATTAGCAGGCAGAATCGCATCCCCACCCTTCCGCTTCACCCCGCCCTGGGGTCATCTTACCTTGGCAGTGGCTGAGGTTCAGTCTTTTGTACCCTTGGGGACACTCCAGCTGACCATTTTCTACCACTGGGAAGGCTGAGGAATGAGGACAGGTCTCATGGGAGGGCCTTGGAACCCATCTACCCAGTAGTCATAGTCTGGATGTCTCAGGGTCTCTCCAAACATCTCCCTGGGCAACCGTTACACCTTGCTTTCATCAAGATCCTCCTGGCCCATCTTGATTTTTTTTAAAGACAATATTGAGTGAAATGTACCAGATACACAAAGGCAAGCCCAGCCTGATCACATTATTGTGTGGAATCTGAAAAAGGCAAACCTACAGAATCAAAGAGGGAAATGGCGGGTATGGGGAGCTGGGGGTGGGTGGAGGAACCACATAAGTGGTTTGGGAGCTGGGAGTTTAAGGGTGTGAATTTCAGGACGGTAAGATGACTCAGCAGGTAAAAGTGCTTGCTACCAAGTCTGACAACCTGAGTTCAAGTTCCGGAACCCACATGTTGGACCGAGAGAAGCAACTCCCACAGTGGCCCTCTGACTTCCACATCTGCATGCCGTGGCAGGTACACACCACACATACACATCATGCATGAGTATGAACACACACAAAACAGACAAACAAAGGAATTAGAGTCATAAATTTCAGAAGGGAGAAATAAGTTCAAGGGACCTACTATCCAACTAATAACGAGGCATTACATACTTGAGAATCATTAGGAGATTTTAAGCAATCTCACCCTTCCCTCAAATAAACACAAAAACAATTGAGCCTATTAGCACGTATATAAATGTAAAGCAATACACGTATTTTGTGTCTGTGCATATGTGTGTGTGGCATATGTATATGTTCATGTGGGTGTGATGCATGGGGGTGTATGTCTGTGTAGGCACATGCACAGGATGGAAGTCAGTGTTGACTGTCTTCTTTGATTGCTTTCCACCTTGTTTTTTGAGGCTAACTAATGTACATGTATTCTCATTTCAAAATATCATATTGTGTACAGTATATACATATATATTTCAGTAAGAAAATGTTTTTAGAAACTGCAGTGATGCTTTATACCCATAATCCCAACACCCAGGAGGCTGAAGTTCAAGTTCAAAGCCAGCCTGAACAGAGAACAAGACCCCATCTCACATAACAAAAATAATTTGTTTTTTTAAATACTAAAAATAAAAAATTTTTGCCTGAGTTTATACCACATATATAGCTATAATATTATATGCAGAATACACTCTACCACATTCACATTTTGTAATATAACATATGGTCAAACATGCTTTGTTTGTGTTACTAACTTTTTATTTGGAAACGATTATAGCTACACGGGAGGCATCTGAATGCAGATTGGCCAACAAGGAAATGATATCAGTATTTTGATGCTAACACACATCCTGCTTTGATTTCACAACATCCCCCTTACATCACAGAGACAAAAAGCCCCTATTGATACTAAATAACAAAAGGCAAAACATTGTTTTAAAGTGACAGCCCAGTGAGTGTGATCACCTCCTGGGTTTGATCCCCAGTGCTGATGAGAAAGGGAGGTGGAGGGAGGGAGGACTTGAGCTCATAATTCCTGAGCTTAGAAGAGAGACAAGGCGATGGCTCAGCGGCTCAACACACCTGCCACCCAACCTGCAACCTGAGTTCAGTGCCGAGGAGCCACCTGAAGCAGAGAACTGATATTCTGGCTCCAGGAGATCCAGCGCCCTCTGCGGCCTCTCCAGGCCACTCGGGTGCATATACCAGCACAAAGACACACAAAGACATAATTAAATATAATTTTTAAAAATAATGCAATTTTGCTGGGCATGGTGGTTCACACCTTAATTAGGAGGCAGAGGTAGGCAGATCTCTGTGAGTTCAAGGCCACTGTAGTCTACACAGCAAGATCCTCTCTCAAGAAGAAGAGGAAGCAGGACTGACTGACACTTTGATTCAATTGTACAGTCAAGTTTGAGGAGACAGAACTCAGGGCCTTGTACTTACCACTAAAGTCCCAACTCCTCTTGTCCCGTTCCTTTGATTTTTTTAAACAGGATCTCATTGTGTAGTGCAGATTCAAACTCTCTATCCCCACCTGCTTCAGTCTCCCAGCGCTAGGAATATAGGTGTGTGCTACCGTGCGTGCCTGTCCTGCAAATGTTCTTCTGGGTGCATTTGCAGTTTTTACTTATTAGCCACTTCTCACAGTACCTAGGGCAAGGTTTGTTATCGATGGGAGCCAAAACAGTTTTGTATCTCACAGAGTCTTCTTAGCCAGTTAGCTTTTGTTATCCATGTCATCATATATGATAGGCCATGACTTTTACCCTGTGCTCTGACTGATAACGTCATTACACGGACTGTCAGTGCTGTGCTTCTCGGAATTGCATGTGATTGTGTCACCAGTAGCTTCTTGGGACCACAGGTACTTAGCAGGCATTTTCTAGAATCATTCCTCTGCTCTGTCCAGACCGATTTAGAAGGCTGGAGCGATGTCCGTCCTTCCAGAGGACCTGGGTTCAATTCCCAGCACCCCACATGATGGCTCACAGCTGTCTGTAACTCCAGTTCCAGGGGATCTGACTCCTGCATACAGACATACTTGCAGGCAAGACTGATGAAGTTAATGCCAGGCAATATACAAGTCCAGGAAGCAGAGCATTCAGAACCACAATAATTGTAACATGACAAACTCAGACACATGACATGCCAGTTGTCTGGAAACCCCACCCCAGGGCATGTTGCATGCCAAGTGTGTCAGTGTGACATGTGGACAGATCAAGTGCAGATATACACTAACCAGGAAGGTTTAATGCTTTCTCTACTACTAAAAAAATATAACAAGTTGAGGTTCTAATTTTTCAATGACTTGACCCACCTTCTCTGAAGTTTCACATGAGGCTGAAGGTCTGGACTAGGACACCACTCAGACTAAGTGTGGATTCTGAAACACCGGGAGTGAGACAGAAGGATGGAACTGAAGCTGGAGACATACATGTCCCTGGCCTGGGGCCTGATGTGCTGAGGACAGAAGGGAGGGGCAAATGAAAGGACATTGTCAGGAAAAGTCAGAAGACTGGCAGATTGGATGCCGGCAGCAGATGTTGTGAGGAGCAGAAGCTGGGAAAAAATAATGCACAGAGGCTGCCACTCCTTGGCTGAGGAGTTACGCCAAGTTAGCATTTGTGTGATGCCTGAGCAGCGAGGACACTGGGCCATACCAGCCTGTCTGTCTATCTCAACAGTCAGGAAGGTGTTTTACCCCCACTTTTCAGAGCAGGAAAGCACAGCTCAGGAAGGTAAAGAGACTGGAAAGAGCTGAGTCAGGGTCAAAAGCAGACTTCTGCCACAAAGGCCAGAGGGAGACAGAGACACAGAGACACACAGAGAGACAGAGGGAAAGAAGAGGAAAGGAAGAAGAGGAGGAGGCTGCGAGGAGAGGAGCACTTTCTCAGGCAGGTTTCAATATGGCAAAGGCCAGGCAATATTGCCTCTTAGACATCAAAAGAGAAGTCAGGCAGATCTATGCTTTCTGGGCAATTGGATTGGGAGAGAGCTAGGCTAGAGTTGTGAACAAGAGGAATACCAGCTGCTGGAACCTGAAGAAAACCATGGGAGCCCAGGCTGTGTAAGCTGAGAGGCCCTGGCTACAGTCATAGAAGCGTGGGCTTCTTCTAAAATGTCCCTGTCCTGGAAGGAGACTCTCCTCTTGCTGGGTTGAAGAGAAAACAGTAGATTGGTAGTGCTTCGATTCCCAGCACAGACAGCAAGGCCTTATAACTGTTTGTAACTCCAGCCCTAGGGATTCAACACCTTCTGGCCTCCCCAGGTACTTACTGCATGCAGGCGGTGCACAGATGTGCACAGACATACAAGCAGATAAAACACACAGGCACATTGAGGGCTGGAGAGATGGCTCAGAGGTTAAGAGCATTGCCTGCTCTTCCAAAGGTCCTGAGTTCAATTCCCAGCAACCACATGGTAGCTCACAACCATCTGTAATGGGGTCTGGTGCCCTCTTCTGGCCTGCAGGCATACACACAGACAGAATATCGTATACATAATAAATAAATAAATAAAACACACAGGCGCATAAAAACAAATAAACACAGAAGGTGGCTACGATGTGAGTCCAAGGACATGGGGCCTTCAGTGTTCTTACAGTTGGTAGTCTGACACCTGACAAGACCGAAATCTCTCTGAAGGGCCCATGTAGGGCAGATGTGGGTAATTGCTCAGATAGAGAAACACGGTCATGTGGCTCTGGGCATTTCTGGTCACTGCCCTTGTGTTTGCCCATTCTCCGCTCTTCCTGTTACTCATAGATGGGGCAGAAGAACAGAGCACCCATGACTGTAGTCTGTCTTGTCCTACTCATTCCACCCCTCAGCTTCTGGGACCCTCAAGGAGTCCTCAACAAAGACAAACTAATTGCTGAGACAATTTTGGCCCTGATTCCCCAAGCAGAGCTGGGAGGAGACAGTGAAGACATGTCTGGCCACAGGGCTATTTACACTACGCCAATGTTGGCCTGTGTGACAGGTGCCCACAGCAGGGAACTATGGAGGGTGCCTGGTGCATCGCTTCCCCAAAGAATAGATTCATATTTGACCTGGAAGGCCAAGCTTAGGTTTATGAGCTGGCTGGAGGCTTGCCCCGGGTTTGCACACCTCAGGCACCTGGCTATGCCAGAGGGCAACCCCATTCCTCTGGGAGAAATGGTGTGAGAGCACATGACAGCCAGGACAGCCAGACACACAATGAGTTCCTGGATTGTCTCCAATTCGGAGCACTGTTCTTCCTCTCTTTTGGCCTATAGTTCAGCTGTAGAAGAGGGGGTGGAAATTAGTTTGTAGGGATGCCGTGAAGACTCGCTTTGCTGAAACAATGGCTGTCGGAAAGATCTTCAAAATTGGCTCAATCCAGGAGTTAGTTCTCCCTTCCTTCCCCTACCTTGCCCTTCTTTCTTTCCTCCTTCCCTCTTTCCCTCCCTCCATCCCTCCTAACTTCTCTCCCTTCCTCCTTCCCTTCTCTTCTTCCTTCCTTTCCCCTTAAGTTGCTTTAGATCACAGTGCTTTATTACAGCAAC